TGGCAGTGATATGGTAAACCAAATTGACCATGTGTTGATAAATAAAAGAAGGATGTCGTCAATCATGGACGTACATACATGTAGAGGAGCAAATTGCGATAGTGACCACTTTCTTATAAAGACTAGGCTGAGGCAAAGAATCTCGAATGTAGCGAAACACAAAGGAATTCGAAAAAAAAAATGGAACACAGAAAAATTCAAAGAAGGTGATACAAGGACTATGTTTGCTGAGGCCATAAACAGAAGATTGTCACAATACGAAAGCGCAAATATCGACGTCAATGAAGAATGGGGGCAACTAGAAAAAATTCTTAACGAAACTACGAATGAAATAATCGGTGTGGCACAAAAACGACGAAATGAGGAATGGTATGAAAATGAATGCCAAATAGCAGTACAAAAGAAAAACGATGCAAGAAACAATATGTTAAGAACAAATACCAGACTCAACAGACAAATATATAACACGCTAAGAAAAGAAGCCAAAAAGACAATAAATAAAAAGAAAAAAGCAGCTCTCAAAAGAAAAACCGAGCAAATATGTACTCGTAAAGACTTTGAAGAAAATCAGATTCGACGATTCTATATGAAGATAAAAGATGAGAAACGCGGTTTTCAACCTAGACTAAATAACTGTTACGACAAAAATGGTGCAATATTAAGTGAGGAGGACGATATACTAGATAGATGGAGAGAATATTTTGACGAATTATTAAATATAGAACATTCTGTGATAGATAATGGGATACCCATACAAAGAAACATAAGTGCAATAGAATACAGACAGGAAGAACTACCAACCAGACAAGAAGTGGAAAATGCAATTTTCCAGATGAAAAATAACAAATCTCCAGGAGAGGATGGCATTGCGGTAGAAATATTTAAAAACGCGGGTGAAACTTTTATCTCTTGAATACATAATCTAATATGTAGGATTTGGGATACAGAGAACATACCAGAAAAGTGGGAGCAAGGATTAATTGTGCCGATACATAAAAAAGGCAATAAGCTCGACTGTACAAACTACAGGGGTATCACATTACTGAACACAGCCTACAAGACCCTCGCCAATATCATTAATAACAGACTAAAAGAAGTGGCTGAAGATATACTAGGAGACTACCAGAGTGGATTTAGACGGAATAGATCCACTATCGATCAAATATTCTTATTACGACAAACTATGGAGAAGTGCTACGAATACAAGAGAAATTTACATTTACTAATGGTTGACTTCCAACAAGCTTTTGACTCTATAAGGAGAGAAATAGTTGAATCTGCACTCCAAAACTTGGGAGTATCGATAAAGCTTACAAACTTGGTCATGTTGACACTCAAAAGGACCAGATGTAAAGTGGCACTACAGAACAAATTGACCGATGAATTTGAAATAAAAACAGGTGTGAGACAAGGCGATGCACTGTCAACAACAATATTTAATTTGGTGCTCCACAGTGCCATTAGAGAACTAGATAGAGGAGGACACATATTTATAAGATCATCAATAATCAGCGCATACGCGGATGACATTGCAATCATAGCAACATCAGTTGACGAAATGAAAGAAGTATTTTTGACGCTAGAAAGAGAAACTGCTGCAGTTGGTCTAAAAATTAACGAATCAAAGACAAAATATATGAAAATGACGCGCTCGGAAACGACAAGATCCCCTCAGAACATCACAATAAATAATTACAATTTTGAAGGAGTAAGCTGTTTTACATACTTAGGTGCCTTAATTAATAACAGAAACGACATGCATTGGACAATTAGTGATCGTTTGCAAGCAGCCCAAAAATGTTTCTATGCCCACAAAAATCTATTTAAGTCCAGGCTACTGAATAGAACAATTAAACTTAGAATATATAAAACTATTATTCAACCTGTGCTAACGTATAGCTGTGAATCCTGGACAATGACTAAAAACGATGAAAGGAGTCTTAAAATATTCGAAAGAAATATACTAAGAAAAATATTTGGTCCCAAAATAGACGAGAATCATGAATATAGACGAAGAACCAACGCAGAGTTGGAAGAATTAATAAATGGACAAAACGTAATAAAAGCTATAAAATCACAAAGATTAAGATGGGCGGGGCATGTCGTAAGAATGACAGATGACAGGATGCCAAAAAGAATATTTGACGCGACGCCGTATAATACTAGAGCAAGAGGCAGACCAAGATCTAGATGGCTGGATGAAATAGAAGAAGATTGTAGAAAAATCGGCGTACAGAGATGGAGAGTTATAGCTCAAGATAGATCGGAATGGAGGAAAATTGTGAACGAGGTTAAGGCTCACCCCGAGCTGTAATACCAACAGATGATGATGACATGAAAAACTTACATATAAAATTTCATCAAAATCAGTTCAGCCGAACTTGAGATACCCTCGTGCACACACAGACCGACAGACCGACAGGTTGCTAAAAATAGTTTACTAACACTTCCCTACTATGGAGAAGTGCATTCCGACCGAAAACTCGATATGCAAAATTTGTTGCCACCACACAACCTACCTATTGTATACACAATACGGTCAGTAAAAAGATGTTTACTACTACAAAACAAACGATAAGTTTTTGCACTTGTCAATCAATGCAAAATTTTTTTTTAGTTTTAAGCTAGAAATGTGTACGCATACTGCGTTTTTCGAAGAACCCATTGTTCCTGTTAATTAACTAAAATAAATTATTCAATAAATAATTCCTGCATACTTAGGATAAAAAAACAAGTTACAAAAACTGTTGACATTATAGTTACACTCGACGGGTATTTAAATGAATTAGAATAAGCTACATTTACATTTTAGGATAAGTTACATTTTATGGTGGGAAGACATTTATCGCCAGTTTTTTTTCAAAAAACTTACAGTTTCGAAAAGTTTTACAAACTGTAAATAAGTCTTAATCTTTTACAATTTCCTTATAAAATAAAGACGAACTCGAAAATTTAAAAAGAAAGTGTTTTTAAAACCTTTTTAGGACTATTAATTTAAAGGCCAGTAAGAGAAGTAGGTTACTACTTTTATAAGTTTCCGGAATTTAAAAAATATTCATTGTTTCGACAAAATAAATGATCAAAAAATATAATATTTGATATGAGGGTCCGCAATTATATAAAGGGAGAAGGTTGGTAAGAATTTTCTTCTAGCAAAATAAATTTTTAAAATTCAGTTCTTATTATAAAGAAACTTTGTTTGATGCGAACGATCATAATAGTTTTGCAGTGTTCAAACCATTTACTCAAATTTTTGAACTTCTCACTAAATTGCATAGACAGATGACTTCAGATAAGTCACGGAATTACGCTTTTCCATTCCAATCAGAAGTTTATCGAGATAAATTTTCGATTTTGGTCAAAATTCATAGTTTCCGTTAATTCTACTAAAAAAATTCTTTCCCACTTATTTAATGATATTTAAAATTTGAATAAAATTTTTGATTTTAAATTATATTTTTTATGCTATTTACATATGTTTATTTCAATATGCATCAATTAAAAATGAAAAAAGCCGTCATTAGCCCCAACATGAAATTTCTCTTCTTCCTTTATTACTTTTTTTATAGTTTTTAGTTTGTTAAAATAATTTCAGAAGTCTATCATCAATTTTATTAAAATATATTCTCTTTATTGTCAGAAACTTTTCCTTATAGCTAGGTATATTATAAATTGAAAAGAGGAATAAATTTTCTTTTGTGATTTTAGGTGAAACTCTTTTAAAAATAGAATAATGAACTTTTTGTATACATATGTATGTATATACATAAGTCTATATATAAAATATACTAACATAACCGACAGCATGGTTTATTGTCTAGTTTACGAAAGTGTTGCACAAGTTAATGAAAACTCTTTTTATACTTCTTACAAATTTAAAGGACGCTTGTAAGCTTTTAATAAAAAAGTCTAGTTCCTCAGGTCTTACATATTCCAAAAATGAAAAAGTGTGATAAAGATCCGTGACAACGCTATAAAGTCATACGTAAATTTTCATTAAGATGTTGCCGAACTTCATCGCAATTCACATTAGATTTTCTGTCAAAAATTTATTGTTGCTAAACCTACACTAAATTATCGCACTAAACTCAAAGTAAATAAAAAAGCTAACGAAATATTTCAAGAAAATATTAAATTTTTTGAAAAGAAAACAAAATGAATATTTCAATAAATCGTAATATAATAAGAAGAAATATGAGAGCTAATATCATCCAAAACAATATAAATTAAAAACCTATTTATTATGAGAATCTTATTTGTATTTACATTAAATTTTTTTCTTTATTCAACAAAAAAAAAATATGACATGTATGACATATGAAATGTAACAATTTATTCTTATGCGAAAAACTCTATATATTATTTTTTTTTTTGGGGTATTCTAAGATCTTGAGCATTATTTAGGAGCAAAACCAAAAATTTCTTTCGGCAAATAGTTTATTTTTAAGAATAAAATACTATTGATTTTTGTAAAAAAAAAAATTACTTAAAAATACGTTATGTTAAAATTAAAGTATTTTTAAAAATAATTTTCTGTGAAGCTATGTATTATCTGGCGTTGTGATACAATGAATGTTTTATTAAACCATTTTTTTCTGATCATCAAAAAGAAAATACTTATTAGTACTCATAATGATTTTTACGATATTTTTTAATATTCCTTTTTTTCTAAATACATTTTGACTAACAAAAACAAAAATTCCCTTCGGCTAAACGTTACCACAACTTTGTTGACCAAATATTTCAAATAAAATTAAAAATTTTCAAATTTTTATTCATAAAACTTTTAAGACTCAGTATGAAAAAAGTGATTGAAAAAAATCATCTTTGTTTTTCTTTTTTTTTTATAAATATAGACTTAGCTACATATTTTTCTTGATTCTCTCGCGAAACATAATTTTTCTCATTCAAAAAATCTCAAAATATAAAAAAAAAGTTTCGAAGAAAAATTTGTAGTACTCAAACGCATTTTAAGAAAATAAAAGTTTTATTCTTAATTTTATTTACTAAATAGTATTGAAAACGAGCGGTTCGGTTTTTAACGGTAAATAGGCGGTCCAATTACATAAGTTTAAATAAAACCGTTTTCATATATACATACACATATACCTTTTTAAACGTTCGTTGCATGTATAAAACTCTGTTTGCGAAAAGTTCTTAAATAAAAAAAATATTAATTATTTTTTTTAATTTGAAATAGACAATTAAAAATATATTAAAAATAATTTTCTTTATTTCTTTTTTTTCATTTTCCTGATTCAAAATTAAAATAATATATGCACATATTTTTGGTGCTGTGAAAAATATCTTAAAATTCAATTCTTAAGAAAAAAAATAAGTTCTTTAAAAATAACCAAATATTAAAGTTAAAAATAAAATTTTGCATATATACATACCAACGTACATAATATAAGTACGTGCATATGTGCACACCTTTGTGAATATTTGTCAATTCCCGGGATATTTTTATTTTATTATGAAATATAAATAAATAAATAAAAAAAACACAAAAAGGATTAAAATTTAAAATAAAAAAAGCATACCAAAAAATGAGTGTAAGTTCATAGCCGATACACTTTATATTTTTATTTAAATGTTTAATACTATTTTATTTTTATTTATATTAAAAACCATTGAACTAAATGTTTATTTAAAAATTAAGATCGATGCTAAAATACCGAAATTTAATTATTCCTAACCTATTCAATTATTTTTATTGAAAATAATTTAATGGAATATACAGCATAGTTTCTGTCTATGATTTAATTTTTCTACCAATTTTATTTATGTGATAAAAATATTGACTTGAATATTAAAGTTGAATTAAGAGTTTTATGACAATTTTTTTTACCATTTTTTAATTTATTCGATAATTTTCTAATGATATTAGTCACGCGATTTTCAGAAGTTAGAGGGTTTCTTTTTTTGTAACTTAAAAATTTAAGTTACAAAACAAAATACAAATTACAACATTTTCTCATTGATTTTTTTGGCATTATACGTTGCTAAAAAAGTATAGTAAATCACTGTTTGAAAAATTAATGTTTTATTTTAAAATAATTTTAAGACTGGTACTATAAATTTTAGTTCCACTGACAAGAAATGTATATCTTCCCCCAAAACATGTGTTTGAAGTTAAATTGAGTGTTAAGCTTTTAATATACCCAAATTTTCATTAATTCCAAATCTTAATATATAAATGCAAATCTTATATTTTAATGTAATAAAGTTGGGCCAAACCAATGGTTTTTATTGTAGCACTTTTCCCTTCAACAAGTGAAAGTACTTCTTTTAAATACAGTCTATGTATACCTACCACACTATTAAAATTATTTTCATTCATATACGAAAGCAAAAATTAATTTAAAGAGGGGTTAACACAATGTTCAGTTTTAAGGTTTAATTGCGTGAGTTAAGAAAAATAATTATATTTTTTAATGTCACGGAATTTACCGTTAGATTTTTGCGTTTATAGAAATTTGAAAAAGGTTGCGGTTTCGGAAATATAAGGCGTCAAAAATTCAAATTTTACAAATTTCAAGGGGCGATAATTTGAGAGGGGGTGGAAATGGAAAAAAAATTTCTTCTAACTTTTTATTAGTGTCTAAAAGCTGCTAAATTTGAACGACCATTTTGTTTTCTCACAGTTTAACTATAGTATGCCACGATATAAGAAGCAAGCCACTGCCTTTCTGCGTTTGCAAAATTTGAAAAATGCTTATGGCTTCACTGCAATAAATAGTTACAAAATGTCATTTTTACGGTTTTGGAGGGGTATATCTTCTTTGGAGGGGGGGAGATAGGTAAAAATTTTTTTCCAAAGAAATAAGCTTCTTTTTTTTTTCTTAAGTATTTTTTTCATAAATTTCTGGAAAAGTGCTAAAAAGTAGGTACACAAAGTTTCTTGCACATGTTTAAATTGTAAAAACAAAGTATAAAGTTCATTTATTATTAAGACTATTTCTTTTATCTAGTTTTCAACTAATTCTAATCCGATAGAAATATTTTTTATTTTTTGTTTTCAATTTGTGACTCTAGTATGGTATTTGAAAGCAATTCACATTATAATTTTTTGTTTTGTTTTTTTCAAATTTCTTTTTAAATTCAATTTTTTATTCAAAAACTTTAGGGCCTGATCGTGCTATTTTACTCGGAAAGTGAGTAACTATCATATATTTGTATAATTTATTCACTTTGTTTTTGAAAATGAGACGATCAGCTGATAATTTGAAAAAACAAAAATCCAATTGTCAAAATGAGTTATCTTATTGGAAAAAGGGAATATACATAAATTCAAAAAACTTAAAAATCTGATTTGAAAGCGAACAAAAAGTGAGTAAAAAGTGAGATACACGATCAGACTATTAATCCTTGGTTCAATACCCTTGCATACGGCGTTATATAAATTATGTTTATGTCTATGGAGACATAAATACATCCTATAACACACGTTCAAAAATTGCATGCAAATATGAAAAACAATGTTTAACAATTCTTAAGGAAAACATAATGTTTATAAACATTTAATCAAAATTTACTTGGCACGAAAACTAAAAAAAATTGAAACTAATTTATCGAAATCCCAATAAACGAATTTCCCTTTTATTCGAAACAGAAATAGATTATTAGAATTTAGATTTGTACGAATTCACTGCAAAAACACAAAATAAAAATTTATTTTCAAATGTTCATCTGTTCACAAAATTTTTCGAACGCACAGTAAAATCATCACGGGAAAAGCCAAAATTAAAAATATTTTTGTTTTCTATACTTACATACACACATACACATACATACACATATATGCATGTTGGTTATTTTATTTTTTTAGAGCAACTAGAAGATCATATAATTAGTGAAGTATAATATGAATTCGTAAATCGTGATACCTACGAGTACATAGAACATATGTGTATTTAGAAGAGTAAATTGAAGTTATAAATAAATAAATAAATATGTGCGTACGTAAATAAATAGGTACATGCGTACACAAAAGCTACAGGGTAGTTCAAAAAAGTATAAGAAATATATACCACTGGTTAAAGAGCCGAAAACGGGCAACACTTTTGTTCCGGAGTGTGGGCCAAATATCAATGGTTTAAAAGATACATAAGTTTAAAGAGTTTTCTCATAATTTCTACTTATCCAAGTTTTTTTGTTCATAAGCCGCGTCCCAAAAAAATAAAAGCTTCTAAAAACAGTATTTAAGACAGCTAATAAACGGCTTAAATGTTATGTGACGCACATAATAATGACGTAATATAAAGAATGTCCATATTAGTTACCCTGTACTATGCATAAATCATAAATATAAAATTGGTTTTCATTGAACTCATTTCATTAAATTATCATATACTAAAATTATAAAAGGTTTACTAGAAAAAACACAAGAAATATTAACATTAAATTACTAATGTACATAATTATTAAAATCAACATTTTACTTTAGTTTGCATTTGATGTACTTTCGGAACAGCAAGCATCCTAAGTTAAGAAAAATTCCCGTTTTTACATTTTTACGTTTTTTTAGTTTTCTTTATAACGACAATTTCATATGAAATGTTTTGAAACTTCTAAAAATTTTTAAGCAAAAGTATATATTATTGCTGTATACTTTTTGAATCACTCTGTATATAAATACAAATTTTTATTATGTACATATACTCCATATTGCTAGTGCATATGTAGTATGAAAAAACACTAGTTGTATAGGTATAGGTTCATATATGCATTTACAAATGTGTATATTTGTGAGTGTGTGTATAAATAAAATTGTGTTAGTTTCTTTTTCATAAAGATAATACCGTTGCCAAATAGATCAGGCCAATAAATTAAGAGAAAAAAATTATTATTCTGAAATCACTTCCTTATTCCATTTATAAGAGCTCGTAAGAAAGAAACAGTTTACATTAAAATAAAAAAGTGGAAACTTGAAATAAAATTTTTTAGGACATCAATAATAATATCATAGACAGTTTGTTTCATTAATGAGACTACCATTGAATTAAAAATGTTTTTTATTTTGAGTTTGGTAAAACAACATTATTTCGGAAAAATCTATAAATACATATAAAATAGTATACATGCCTACAATCATTATATTAAAAATTCAACGTAAACATCTATTTTAAAATTTCAAGTGCTGCGTGAAAAAAAATCTGATATGAGAGCGCATAACCGACCGCAATGTATATTGTCTAGATTAGTAAAAGTATTCCAGAAGATTATGAAAGTGCGTTTTAAACACTTCTTTACAATTTTAAGAACACTAATAAGCTTTTAGTTAACATACCTAGAAAAATGTGGATTTGGGTCTTAGTAGAGTTTCATTTTGTACCGTCCGAATTATACTAAAAATTTATCAGTAACTACTGGTAACACCCAGACCTCAAATATTAAATTTCAAGAAATTCCATCAATTCGTTTCGTAGATATGATAAAAAATGTAAAATCGGCTCACAGATCAGCCCGTTAAAATGATCGGTTCCCGAGGCCTGATTTATCCCAAAAGCTACTCAATCTGTGCAATAATCAAAATAAACTTACATATAAAATTTCATTAAAATCAGTTCAGCCAAACTTGAGACACACGAGTGCACACACAGTAAGACAGATCAACAGGTTGCTAAAAATAGTTTATTTACGCTTCCCTACTATGAAGAAGTGCATTCCCATAGAAAACTCGGTGTGCAAAATTTGTTGCCATCATATCACCTCCCTTATTGTATGCAATGCGGTCGGTAAAAAGAAAATTAATGTATGAAAATGAGCTAATGTTTTAATAACTAAATTTTTAATTCTGCATATTTAATTACATACATATGCATACACATTACATTAGGCTTCTAAAAATAAAAATTATGAAAAATTGGGTACAATTTTGTAATTTACAATAATTTCTGCGAAATTTCAAAAATTTATTTAAAATTCGATTGTTACAATAATTACAAAATTTATTAACACTTCTGACATTTTATGTAAGCATGAAAAAATATGTAACGTATGCGATAAGTTTATAAATAAAATAATTCATACCTAAACAATCATTGAATGTAAAGGTCAATTGTTATAAAAGTAAATTAAACCCTAATCCTATTGCATCTTTCAACATTATTTCATGTTCAGTTTCTTATTTTAACTTTTAAATACCAGCTCGTTTCCATGTTGGATAACAATTACACACCAGACTATGTATACGATTTCATCTCAGATAATATCACCTGATTCATATCTCACAAATACACATCTGATTCAATTAATACCTTAATCATTTAAATCTAAAATCCGATTTCGATTACACATCCCATTTTCTTCAGTTTTTGGTTTAATCTAAATCTAATCTGATGTAAAATCACCAAATTATTCTTATATATGTATGTATTTAAAATTAAACTTTAACAGAAATAAACACATATTATCTTAAAAATATAAATCCTTATATAAATCTTTACAGTATACGTTATGTATAATCGTTTACCTTAACTTAAGGTAAAGGGTTATTCTTATAAATAAACTCCTTAAATAAAAACAATACTGAATTGTTGTGTAGGGAATGTAAAGAATTACTAGGTTAAACGCAGAGGCTCCAAGTAAGTAAAATTAAAGAAAGTAAATTTAACAGACTCCGAAAATGATCCTAAGAAATATTTAGCAAAAGCCATCAAAACAGATCTTGCAGCTAAATATTTAATAGGATATATAATATATAATTTTATGTTCTTCGAGGTATAGTAAACCGAACCCGATTTTCAAAAAAGTTTCTAGAAAAACTTACAGAGGCATATGCTTTTTCGACATAAAATTATATTTGATAACTTTTCCATTGACCTCTCATAACCTTTTTCAGATTCTTGTTCATTATTATATTTTTTCAGGAATTTTCTTCAGACTCTCAGTATTGCAGGGTCGATTTTAGAAAAGGTTCCTAAACAAAATTTTTAGAACACTTCATGATCTCTTCTCTGAAGCCTTTTTTTCTCTATATCCATAATAAGAGCACAACAGAATACAATAATATAGGCTCATATTTTTCAAAAAGAAAATTTCACATCATAAATTGTACATTCATAATAAGCAGTAAAATTGACATTTTTATTTTAAGGATATATTAAGAATTTTATCATATAGGAGAAGTTACGATATTAGTGGTATCATCTGGATCATTTACACAAAAAAATTTATGGAAAAATAAATAAATAAATCCATTCAAAATATTCAATAAAAAATTATGATAAAAAGAATTTTCTTAAGCTGATATCGGGCAGAGCAATTACGTAAACACAACCTTAAAATAAGCATTAGCATTTTATTAGTTAAGTCTAATATAAAATTTTTATATTTTTCAATACATAATAATTTATTTTAATCGTTTTTGAAAAATTGCCAAAAAAACTCCTACATTAATCTAATATTTTTCTTTTTCTTCTGAATTTCTACATCAAAGTTTTTTGACTCTTTCTTACTTTTATTGTTTTGTAATACAAATAAAGTTGGGTCAAACCAATGGTTTGTATTGTAGCACTTTTCCCTTCAACAAGTGAAAGTACTTCTTTGTATGTATATTTACCACACTATTGAAATTATTTTCATTCATAAACGAAACTATTTATAGGATTGCGTATATTTAGGATGAACGATTTATGCAGTCTTTCAAATAAAGAAAAAATTAAGTTAAAGAGGGCTTAACATATCGCTCCATTTTAATGGTTAATTGCGTGAGTTAAGAAAAATAATTGTATTTTTTAATGTCATAGAATTTACCGTTAGCTTTTTGCGTTTATAGAAATTTGAAAAAGGTTGCGGTTTCGGAAATATAAGCCGTCAAAAATTCAAATTTTACAAATTTCAAGAGGTGATAACTTGAGAGGTGGTGGAGTTGGAAAAAAATTTTCTTCTAACGAAATAAACTATAGGAGAAGCAAGCCTCTGCCTTTCTGCGTTTGCAAAATTTGATTAATACTTCTAGTTTCATTGCAACAAATAATTAAAAAATTGACGTCGTTTATAACATAATTAGTATGTATGTATTATGATATAACATAATTAGTATGATATATTTAACATTATCATTGAATAGGACGATGTGCACATTTAGCACGTGCACATATTTCGATGATCAAATCGCTGTTTAAATAATCATTTTCAACCTGCGTTTTTCATAGCGTATCCCTTTTTTTTTAGGGATAGTAAATTTTATTATATAAGTTTGTAGAAATTAACAGTTGGATTATTATACAGGAAGAAAATTTTTCAATTTTAGGTTATCCTTAGTTTATTTAGATGATTTTGATACTTTGTAACAAAATGTTAAACCACTATGTCTAATCAAACCAATCAGTTTATGCCGTTATAATAATTTGCGCTGAAAATGCCGCTTTTGAATGTCTTTTATTGTAAAAGGTCCCTTCACGCAAAGTGTCTAGTTAAGCAAAAATGTTGCACAAGGTTATGAAAATGCCTTTTAAACAATTCTTTCAAATTTTAAGAACACTGGTAAACTTTTAGTTAACATACTAGAAAAGTAAATTTGGCTCTTAGTAGAGTTTCGCTTTGTGCTACCCGAATTCGTCAGTTACTTCATGTACCAAACAAAAGCCCTAGTAAAAGTTCAGTTTTGGAGCCCTGATATTCCCAAAAAATTTATAACTTCATTGCTTTCACACCCTGAATTTAAATATTAATTTTCAAACAAAATAATTGATTATTTCTTTTCACATACGCAAAAATATAAATAATTTGGCCCAAAGTAAAAATCTAGTTACTGACTCCTGATTTCTCCCAAAGGTTACCTGGTTTCTTGAATTGTCAAACGAACACGATATAATCGGCTGTAAAACTTCTTAAAAATAATCAAAAATGTAAAATCAGCCCGTAGTAAATCAGTCATCCAGTTCCTGAGACTGACATATTCCAAAAGTTGACCAAACTGTCTCACCCTGAAAGTAAACTCCTATATAAAAATTTATCAAAATCGGTTCAACCGAACTTGAGATACTGATCTCCACAAACAGACTGACAGACAGAAATGTGAAATTAAGTGCATTCACATGACCTACCTTATTGTATACAATGCGGTAAATAAAAAGTAACTCAGATAAGTTGTAAGAAATAATAAGGCTAGTTAAAACTAAATAACTCGACTAAAAAATATCATAAAAATACATATATAAAAAATTAAAAATAAAATATGTTACATATACGACTTATCAAAAAATTAAATAATAATTCTTGGTAAAAAATACGCTCATGAGACAAAGCTTATTATTTTTTACTAAAACAACTAAGTTAAAATTTAATAATTAGGGGTTCTAAAGTTTTAACCAAAAATTCAATTTTAACGACAGAAATTTGTTTGGTTTATTTTAGAAAAATGTTTATTTTAATGAAATGTTAAGTCTAATTTATAAATTGCGACCAGAACATATGCAAGAATTCGATTTAAAGAAGTTCGTATAGAATGCTTTTTGCAAGAAAAAATTAAAAATCGGAAGAGACCAAAGCTTTTGTTTGGATTAAACAAAAATCTCAAGCGTCCTCGAATAGCTTTAATTAATTGTTTCTCTTAACGTCGCAAGACAATCCTTATGATTTTTACTATTACAATTTATTTCTATTGAGGAAAACTAGATGAATATATTTATATATCTATACCATGAAAATACATACACTAACATGTTAATTTTTATGACTTTAAGTGAAGTATAATTCAGAACAAAAACAATTTGGTTGTAGTCCTAACCTTGAGCTACAGAATTTTTTTCAAATTTTCGTACTTCGTTAAGTATATACGTAACATATGTTAAAAAAAATGTATTCCGTGCATGTATTTGTTTATATTTTCATTAATTTAATAAATGCTATTAAACATAAACCCCTTCAATACGTAATACACCCACATTTATAAACACATTTTTTCTGTAGATTATGTTTATGTACACATAAAGAACTTGGCATATGCATACATGCATACATATGTACTTGATTTAATTTATAATAAACTTAAATTGAGGGAAAATCTAAAAAATTTCTTCAAGAATCTTTGAACTTCAAAATTTTATTCATAAAATAAAATAAATATTGAGCAAATATTTTCAGTATAATTTAATTTTTTCTAGCATGTAAACGGATCTTCGAAATCTATAAATATGCGAATGATGTCGTCAGATCGCCCAATGCCAAATTGGGTTGTGAGTACCTTTCTAATGAAATAAAATTCTATATATAATTCATCTGACATAAACTTTTAGAACGAAACACATGATCGTGTAGGACCCAAACCACCAGCTGCACCACCAGGTCAATTTCAAAAACAATTGCCACCACCACCTTTACCGAAAAAATCGAATCATATTGAACCAGATTATGAAGTCATCGAGTTTTCGAGTCAGCAGTACTCCAATGCAGCTCCAATTCGATCAAATACACCTGGTGAGCTATATTTCAATTAATTTCTTTTTCTTTTACGATTCTTCTTATTGTGATAATTTAAAATATATAGATGTAAAAAGAGCCGACGGCCTTAAATGTCAACTTTGTGGTTCACCTAACCCCTGGGTCAGTTGTGATCAATGTGGTAATCAAATATTTTGTGCATCATGTGACGATATGTTTCACAAGCATCCAAAACGTCAGACACATGTTCGAAAGGTAAATTTTGTTTAGTAATTATTGTTTTATAATTGTGCAATTAATAATTTGTTTGCTGGTTGAACATTTATAGGCTATGGAAAAATCGCAGTGTATTAAACCACCTTTACCACCAAAAACGGATCTTCAATTTTCGGCTCCTGTGCCACCACCTCGCCGTAATAAAAAAGCGTTTCCATCACCTTTACCAATGAGAAGAGATCAGGTAGGACATTGCAACATCCTTTAAAACTAATACAAAAAAAATTAATATGCACATAAATAAACTTTAAAGTTATACAAAGTGCAATTGTAAATTGCATATAATGATGAAGCAATAACCATCGATTTATTTAACTTCAGAGATTTTTTTAGTAATTTTTTAATTAAATTATACTATTTCAAAGCGATTGTACAGCATTCATTCCAAACTTAACAAAACACTCATAATATTCAACCTTTGAAAAATTTATTTTCAAAAATCTTGTCTCAAATAGCCATGGACTTAACCTGCGAAGCCAAGATAGCTTGAAAATAATTTATCATATAAAATTCTTAAGGGATCTTGTTTTCCAAAATAAAAACTATTTAAAATTAAGTTGCACTGTAATAATTTTGTATTTTGATTTATTAATTTTGTAAACAATTTTTAAAGTGTAATTTTTATATTCAATAAATTTTTCGGAATAACAAAGTGATTTTTGTTGTTATTAAAAAAAACTCACACTTTAATTTTCATTTCTATTCAAGAAAAGATATGAAAATGAAAAAATTATTACGCAATCATAACGTATTTAATCATCAGTACTGTCTAAACACTTATAAAGAATTAAGCTCCAAAGCAATATTTTATTACTTCATAATTCTTTACTTTAGCTAGTTTTACAACCTCAACAAAATGGGACTCTTAAAAGGACACAAGTAAATCATAGTAATCGACCATTACCAGAGACACCTACACAAGGATCATCGTCAAGATCTAGTACACCAAACAGTAAATCGGTATTTGATTCAATTCAGAAACCTCCATCAATAACATTAGAAAAAATAAAGAACAAAGCTACTGCTACGCTGAGTAAAATGGCACTGTTGCAACAGCGCTATCGACAACATCAAGAATTGAAAGCTGAAGGATCTAAAATGAATAGTACAAGTCAACTAAACGATCAGGTAGTCCGAATAAAGGCAGAATGAAAATTATAAAGTTTTTATTTATTTTGTACAAAACAGATGTCAGACTGGTCAATTCCTTCTTCACCTAGCCGTTTAAGATCTGGAAGTATGTCTTCAGGAATGAATATGCCAAATCAAAGACCATCTATAGATAGTTCATTTAATGGCTATCCACATCAACATCGCCAAATGGATTCAATACAACAAGTAAGGCCACCAATGCGCGCAAGTGCTTCAGTATTTAATCTTAGTCAAATAGAAAATCAAAGACAAATGCCAATGAAACCTTGGAACAATATGGGACAAGTACATATCATAAGAATTTTTTTGTTAGCTTTTCTAATTACAAAAACATTTTGTTTAAAGGCTCAATCTATGGCTCAAATAAATTGTGCTGGCTGTAACCATCAAGGTTGGAGTCACTGTTGTGGCCGAGATAACTGGATGGAAGGCTCTCCTCAAAACTTACATGGTTCTAATATGAGCTTAAATATGCCTCCAGGTTATTATCCTACTCAGCAACATCCGATGATGGGGCCTCCACCAACTTGGTTTAATAATTGGAATGGACCACCAAATATGTTTCCCTACCCGTATCCATTAATGAATGGTAAACTTTTTATTTTCAATATTTTATTGAAACAATTGAATTCATTAATTGATGGAAAATTTCAAAATATAGGTATGATGACACTACCACGTCCCCCAAGATCAAGAGTTGGATCCAGAGCTGGCTCACCAGCATTGAGTATCAAATCCAGAAAATCTATGATGTCTAGTCGCCATAAACGAAGTAGTTACATAGAACATGAATTAACAGATGATGAAGATTCTGAAGATGACAGAAGGTCTATACGATCTCATAGATCAGAATTACCAGGCCAAAGAAGAAGAAATCATCGTAAAGGTTCTTTAACTTCACAAAGCTATGACGACGAAGTTGATGAATACTCAAACAAGGCGAATTCAAGATCAAAATCAATATCTACAGCAGGTATTCCACGAGATTCGAATGATAGGCAGAACATTAATCGTAAAAATATAGCACAAAACGAGTTAAGTTCAATGAAAAAATCTTCGGCAGCATCAGTAAGGGGTCGTTCCGAACGAGAATCTAACTCATCTAAAGGAAAAGGGTTTTCTGATTCACCTTTGACTCCGGACTCTGAAAACGAACCACCAACGAAAGCCCTTGTTCAAGCAAAAATTCAAGAAAAACTTTCCAAACAAAAAGAACAGTCAAATGCTAAAGAAATAATTAAAAAAGTTATTCCCATATCCAAGCCCGCAGAAGCTACAGAAGAATCAGAGGAAGGAGATGAAGAATCAGAAGATGAATCTGAAGAAGATAACAATAATGACAATAATAAAAAGACAGTTGATGAAATACCATCACTCGGCCCGCCCCCATCAACACCCGATCATGATTGGGAGTGTGAGTTCTGTACTTTTGTAAATGAAGCAAATTGTAAAATTTGTGCGGTTTGTTGTAAAACTCCAATTAGATCACCTGTTAAACCAATAAATAATAATAAGAAAAGTTTATCGCCCCCCAAAAAAAATGAAAACCTTTCCACAGTAAAATCTAATGCTTTGTTGGCACAAAAAAAAAATGAAAAAACTTTAACAAAAACATCAATATCAACCAGCACACCATCATCTACATCAATAACTATAACTAATAAAAAAATCGATAAAAAAGACATGGACAATATATCGAAACAACTAAGTACAACGAAAATTTCTCAATCTCAAGATGATTCTGAACAATTAAATGGAGCTAAAAAGAAAGGTATGCATAAAAAGATTTCATTTAGAGCTGGAACTAAGGGCACATAATCAAGAGATTGTTTTTATAACACTATTTCTTCTGAATTTGTTGAGACATATTTAATTTTATTGCTTTTTTACATTTTTTAATTAAATTTACAACCACATTTATTTAGCCTGTATTGTATAATATCGGGAATTGTAAATCAAAGCTTCTTTTAATGTGGTTTAAATTAATTTTGATCGTTTATGTTATAGTTAAATGTTATAAGTAAAAAGTATTGTGATAGAGACATCAAGAGGTATATTAAAAAATATCCTCGAATATAATGTCTTACCAAAATTCATTTTCAATATTGTACTAAACCTTATAAAACTTTTGCTAATACAGCAACCTTTTTGTTGCAAAATATTTTAATGAATGTGCGTTGTAAATTTAAGATATTATTTCTTTTACATTAGTTAATCAAAATGAACTCTTGATGCCTCTAATTATTTATTACTTTGAGTGTGTATATAATTTTCTTTACCTAATTAAATTTGTAATTAATTTAATCATTAGCAAATAATTAATTTAGTCATAAACAAAATGAAATCTGAGACTTTCATAAACAATGTATACAATTAGAAAAGAAAATTTCAATACATAATCTTATTACTCGTAGAAACAATGTTTGTTTATTTCCTTTATTGGCATTAAAATACAATGAAATTAAAATTTTTTTACGCCTATGTGTAAAGCTCAAAATATACCAACATACGTACATATAAAAAAATTGTAGATACTTTTTAGTAATAAAAAAAAAATTAAATCCTCCTTATTTACAGTTGTTTTGTGTTGTAACATTCTTTTTTTTCTTCCCTTTTTTTGGTTTTTATTTTGTTAACTCATATGCTCGTTTCATCTTTCAAATTTAATCCATTTGATGTTTGATGTATTGTATGTGTATATTAAATTTCTAAGCTGGAACTGTTATTAATAATAATATGTCACTTGACGATATTTGGGCTACTCTAGAAGAGGATATTAAAAATGCTGCTGAAGCCACTAAACGTCACAATGAAAGAAATATGTCAACGGACAATGAAACATCGACGAATCAACAAAAATGCAAAACCTCAACAGCCTGTGGACCATCCCCACCAAGAGAAATCAACAACAAAACAAAAGATAGTACATCAGTTTCAACAGGAACATCACCACCCCCCCAAAGTATTTCTACACAAGTAATTTTTATTCATATGTAACTACTAGTAAACATATTATTAAGTTCTATATTTATAGACTTACGATGTTTTACCACAACCTAAATTATATAAAGAACAACATATTATCGACGAACCACTGTTCAAAAGTGGCCGATCATATTCCATTGCAAGTCCTACACAACATGTAAGAGAAAATTCTAATAGTCCATCATTAATACTTAATAATCAAAATGAAGTTCAGGTAAGAAAGAGAAACAAATGTGTGGGTTGATGAATCATAAAAACCTGGATTTCGATTTCATTTTACAAATTTTATTGAATTCAAAAATTATTTACAATATAGTAACCAAACTATTTTAATCTATAATTTTTAAACTTCAAATTTTGTAGAAATAAATTTAAATTTTATAGAAATTCAAATCTCATAATTCTTTTCATTATCAAAACAGAAAGTAACACAGTAAAATATTATTAATTACGCAGACTATATAAATTATAAAAAAAAAATCTAAAATTATTATGTACATGTACATATATCAGGATTAAATAAAAAATAAAAGTAATTAAAATACATATTTAACTAGAGTTTACCACCAACTCCTCCTTTACGAAACATGAGCCCAATTGGAATAAGGAAATACAATAATGAACTAAATTTGGTGGAACCAGACTCTTTGATAGACTATAATGACAGAAACCAATTACAATACTATCGAGATATAGGAGTATCTAAAATGGATCCATTTCGAAGCACTCACGACTTAAGGCGAGATGAAACATATCTATCTAGAAGACCTTCAATTGGTGACATGTTAAGCTATCAAAAAGTGAATAACTATTTAAACTAAAGTTTATATTGCGTACTAAAATTTCTATTTCAGAATCAGTCTCATATGAATGAACCCATGCTATCACAGTGGGATGCATATGATATACGAAGACGCGATACCAAACCAAGAGATGCTGGATCAGAATTAGTATTGCTATTAAAAGTAATTTAAAGATTTCGTGTTAGTTTTCGTATTAACTAGTGTGGCAAAACGCAACTTCTTTTCGTTATTTCAATATAGAATTACATATTATGTTACTATGTAACAAATAACGTTTTGCGACACTGGTTTTAAATTAATAAGTATTTGATAATTTTTCATATATTATACATAGGAAGCCGAACATTATAAATTTACAGCAGAAGAGCTACAAGCTGCTTTGAAACATTGTGGCGACACGAATCCAATATTATGGTTACGTGAAAATTGGTTAAAACTTATTAAAACTGTGCAGACCTTGGCTACAAAATATGGGCAAGAACAAAAAGATAATATAATTGGTACCATATCATCGATTGAATCAAGAGAAGCATTAAGAATACATAGAGGTAATGTTTGGCATGCTGTTACCGAATGTATAGAGCAACGTCAAAAGAAATATCGTGAAATAGCCAGTCGTTCAAACTATTCCCGAGAAGATATAGTAACAGCACTAACTGCTCATCATGGTAATGTTGAATTAGCTTTAATAGATTTGGGAAAAAGTCAAATAAAACCATTTTTGATGAGAATATGGGGCTCACCAAATGGAGTGGAAAATGAAAGTAGTAACTTAGATTTTGGCGAAAAACCGAACAAATTTGGTTAGTATATGGTTTGAGCCTTTAAGAGTTGAAGTTCTACTTGGCATTTCTTAACACTTTTTTGTTCTTCTTGTTTATCTAAGAAAAATATTTCTTGTTTATCTAAGAAAAATTTTAAATACACGCTTCATTGATATTTTAACAATGTATGTAGTTTCAAATTTGAAATCTTATTAAAATATTTTCAAATATTTTAAAATACATTAAACTTGTTTTATTTTCTATCATCTTCTTTAGTTTTAAACTTTCTTAATTTTTTAATATGTATTAGCATAGTGTCTGCACATATTTTCACACGATTTCAAGAAGGTTAGTAGAAGGGTAAAATTCAATTTTTGTTGGAATTCAATTAGAACACACTGTTCTCATTTTAATTTTTTTTAATTGTTCAAGTAGAAAGTTTTCATTTCTCGCTAATTTTTGTTTTTAAATGTTTTATATCTAAATTTATTGTTACTGAAGTTGCCATCCATATAAGCTGAGTTTCAATGTTTTGAGTATGCTTTTTGCAAATAATTTATTTCATTCTTAAATATAATAATATTATTATCCCTGAAAACGTTCATTTAATTTTTACCTAAATTTTAAAATTATATTTTGAATATGTCCTTGTATAACTTCTAAAACAAAATCATTTCGATATTGCTTTAACAAAAATCGTTTTTCTATATATTTTCCAGACATTGATCCATCAATTCATGACTTTATTAATGCAAATGCGGAAAGTTTGCAACTGCTAAAAATGAAAGAATTTCGACAGCATTCACATTCTCCACAACAACTATACAATCAACACCTATCAAAACATCCATCAAAACGAGATTTAGGTTCAATATCAAACTTATCAATTCAAAGCTTTGGAAACCGTACCGAATTTTCAGAAGGTTTTGAAAGTCCAAATGACACAACGTCTAATAATAATCCAAATTTATTAAAAGACATTGAAACTCTAATAGCAAATATGGAACAAAACCAGGCAAAACAAAATGAAAATATGTTTAAAAATATTGAAAACATGTTAGGTGGCTTATTAGAATATCAAAATCAACAACAGCAATCAGACAAACTTCAAAGAAACAATGATGATATTTTAGATAAAAATGATCTATTAAATGAACACCAATTTATAGGAGAAGAAAATATTTTTCGTAAAAGTCCAATTCTTAAACTTAAACTTCCTAAAAATGTAAACTCTGAAAGTGATTCTGTTGAAATGGATGTAAAAAATTTTGTTTCACAACATATTCAAGATATTATTCCAGATTTAGTAGAGCATGTTGAAAAGGAGTTGGAAAATACTGATAATGTAGAAGACATAGAAAGCAATGAGGATTTATTAAAGATAATAAATGCAATGAAAGTTAGCACTGAATTGAGTGGAGCATCTTCTAATGTGTATGAAGATTCAATAACAGCACCTATGTCAGAAATAAATATTAAAGAATTCGTGTCTAATCATATAAAAGAAATTGTTCCAGAGCTTGTAGAACAAGTCCGAAAAGAATTACAATATGATGCATTAAATCGCGATGACATTGATTCAAAACTTCAAATAAAAGAGAATTCAGATGATGAAATTTATATAGTGCCTAACGACAATAAAATTCATGAGTTGCAACCAGAACATCCCGAACCAACAGAAACAAAGACAAATATAAAGACGACTCCAAATGAATTGCAACTTGAAGTAACGAATGATGATATCACTGACACAGAAAGCAAACTTAAAACTTCTGACCAATCAAAAGAAATAATTCATTTTGTACTAAAAGATGACATATCTAGTAACACAAATACGGAAACCTTAGAAAAAGAACCAAATCCCACAACATCTAGCACAATAACAGCAAAAGAACCTTGCAAAAAACCTACGCAAACTAGCACTTCTTCGATAAGCAATAGGGATATAGATCAACAAGATAAAGAGATTAAAAATACAATTATGACTGATATACAAACTTTTATAGAAAGTTCTGGAAGTGAAGAGGAATACGAAAACTCAATGATTAGTTCCGTAATCGAAAATAAGCATATTAACCGAACTGAAAACATTTTAGATGTACCAAGCTCTATGACAAATGAAGTTCTACGCACAGAAAAAGAAAATTTAAAAAACTTATACCCAACAGTATTCGTTTCTGATAGGTCCGAAATTATAGAACCAACAATACTGTATAACACATCCCAAGAAGCTATTGATCAAAATCTTATCACAAAACAAATTACAGTTGACAACACTAAAACAGAAGTGGTTGAAAACACTTTACCCCGTTTAAAAGTTTTGTGTCAGATCAATGAAAATAAATCTGATGAAACTGAAGACTCTCAAAGGGAAAGAGAAAATATTGATGAAAAAGAAACTTTAAAAAGTACAATCATCATCACAGAAGAAAGGAATTCAGAACTGAATGAAATTATTACTGAAAAAATTATGGTTCACAATTCAATAGAGATAGATTCATCAAAAAATGTAACTGCACAAAATATTAACAATCAGACCCCTTATGATAAAATGAGGGTTGAAATCAATTTTCAAGACTCATCTCAGTCAAATATAAATGACGAAATAACAGATAGATCAGCAATGCAACTTGAAAATAAATACAATGACCTGAAACTGCTTACAGAATTAAACACTGAAATACAAAATGAAAATTCAAATACAAATCTGAATAAAAGCTATAACAAGACAAAGGCTAAAGCCATTGCTCAAACATTAATTTTGGAAGAAGCCACTTTGAAACAATTCGAGAATCAATCACAAATCAGTCAAAATATAATTGAAAATAATGTAGCAATAAATGAAGTAAACTTAGATATATCAAAAGGGGAAATCAAAGATAAATCCGAAAACCAGAACGAAATAAAGAAAATTTCAGCCGTATGTTTATCGTCTAGCACATTAAATGAAGGAAATAAATTAGTAAATTTAGTCGAACAAAAAATAGAAAATGCTTCTGGAGAGGCAAGTAGTGAAAAATCTCAACCTAAACAACCAAAAAAGGAAACAAAAGATAAATCTGAAACACAAAACCAAATTACGGATGTTTCAGACATGAGTACATCAACTAAAGGAAACCAATTAGCAGATTTTACCAAAAAAAAAGAGGAATATACCTCTGAAGGTGCAGATCGTAAAAACTTTAATGCAGAAGAACTAAAAGAGGAAGTCAGAGATATATCTGAAAACCAAACCGAAATTACGGAAACTTCAGCTAAAGACACATCGCTTAGCACACCAAATGAAGAACATAACTCAGCCGATTTAGGTAAACAAAAGTATAAAAGAGAAAATACTTCCAAATTAAAGAATCAGACCAAAAGTCAGCGCTTCGAGCAGCAAAAATCAGGTAAAAGGAAAGGAAAAAAAAATAAAAGATCTCAAAATAAAATCCTCAATTTCTCAGATCTTTCACAAAAAGATATGGATATTACATCCAATTCAATTGGCTGGATAGAAGAAAAAAAAAAGACAATAGATGATTTAACATTATTAAACAATGAAGTAAGTTATAACATACCAGGTAATAACCTAGAACATAACATCACTAAACCCGACAGCATTAGCTTTGGTTCATTACTAACATCTTCAGATAATCCAACTGAGCATCTTAGGACCGCTGAAACATTAACAGTTAACTTTAACATTAGCAAAAACAACGTTGATTTAAACAAGGCTCATCAACAACTACAAGCGGGAAGGGATCACAATCATACTTCATTCACCATTCCCGAAGCTACTGAAACATCTAACACCAGACATAAAAAAACCAAACAAATTCATAATGTTAATCGAAAATCAAAAAAACTAAACACTTTTCTAAATAAAAAAGAAGAAAATGAAATTTCAGCTAATTGGAATCTAATTTCTTCTAAGACATACGTAGAAACAACGTCTAAGGATGCAGAAATCACTTTAGTAGAAGATCAACATGCAAAAACGAACGCAGTGATTGGAAAATTGTTAGTAGGAAGCTCGTTACAAACACAGAAATTGATTTTTGGTGAAAATGAAAGGAATGCTGAAAAATCATCTTTTCATATTATTGAAAATAACAGAATTGAAGATATTAATGAAAAAAACGATATTATTTTGAGTGGTTCATTAAACATTATGGTTGCTAGTGAGGTTTTGCCACCATTGAATGAAACATTAAGTGATATATCAAAGGTGGAAATATTAGAAAACCTATCTAGTACAGAAAATGCCGAACATCCAGCAATTAATACCGAGCTCGTCCCCCCATATTATGTTGTTGAAATAAAAGATAATATCGAAAGTTCATCAAACATGGAAAAAATCGTTGAGTACTTAGACGAAGGAGCTGTGGGAGCTATAGGCTCTCTAAGTAATGATAAAAATTTATCAAATGTGGTATCTAGATCAAATAATTCCGAAGAAATAAAAGAATTCTCAACGAATTCATTTGAAAGTTATAATGAAAATGCGTTAAGTGAAGAAATCACAGAAGCACAAGAGGAAACACTTCAAATTGAAAGTCAAGATATATTAAATAACCAAATCCAAACCCATAATAATAGTTCAACACACAACAACCCAACAAAATCTTTGGAAGCTACAGCAATTATTAAAACATTAGCAGGGGAAACTTCGAGACCTGAAATTTCTCAAGGTGATGATAAGAATTTATTGGATGTAATAACTACGTCAGAGCGGATGAATGATTCCGAAGAAATAAATCAATATCTGGAAAACTCAAAAGAAACTTATAATGAAAATACGTTAAATAAAGAATTTAAAGAAAAGCAAAGGGAAGCAGTTCACACAGAAAGTTATAATATATTAAATAATCAAATCCAAACGCAAAACAATAGTTTAATACACAGCAGCCCAACAGAATCTTTGAAAGCTCCAGCAGTTATTGAAAAATTAGAGGAAGAAGATCCAAAAACTAAAATTTATCAAAGTAATAATAAAAATTTATCAAATATAATAACTACGCCAGAGCCAATAAGCGATTCCAAAGAAATAAATGAATTTCAAGCAAATTTAAATGAAACTTATGATGAAAATACCTTAAATGAAGAATATAAAGAAACTCAGGAAGAAACGGTTCAAATAGAAAATAATGAAGGATTAAAAAGTCAAATCCAGAAATATAACAATAATTTCACAAACAACGGACAAACAAAATCTTTGGAAAGACCAACAACAAAAATCACCAAAGATAATATTTCAAGCGAATATGTTAATTTTACAGGTAGAAATGCTCCACAAATGCTTGTGACTAATTTTAATGAAGAAAGTGAAGAAGTTTATAGAGATGTCGAAGAACCTACGGATGAAGAAAAATTTGACAATGTAATTGATAATCCAGTAAAAGAATCAAAAAATAACGTTACGAATTCCAAAGATTCTCATGAAGATACATCAGATGAAGAATTATTTAGTATACAATCAGATGAAGATGATGATAATACCTATATTGGAATACATTCTAAATCAGAACAATATTCGTTCCCATTAGAAAATAGTATAAGTATAACATCTTTCGCCAGTACGGACGGATTCATTACCCCAACAATGTCAAGCTCTGAAGTAATACTAATTTTAAATAGTGAAAATGGAATTAATCGCGAAAGTGCAGTTATATCAGTTGAAAAGAATTCAATTGAAGAAAACGAGGCCTTTGGTATAGAAATGCTCAGCCAAACCAAACTCAAACCAGATGAATCATTACCGAATGAAAACACCGTAGAAGAAGTCGAAAATGAAAACGTCATGCAAAGTTCAGACTCTGTCAATATCTTGAAACCTAAGGAAAATTCAAAACAAAATCTCTCAGAATTAGTTGAAGATACCCAAAGACTTATAAAACAAATGAAAGAAGAAATTAATTTCGACATTGCGTCTTTTGAAGAAGAAAATGACTACGATTGGACTGAAAATGAGGATTATTTTGATGAAAATTTTTCAGATGATGAATATGATTTTGACGAAGAAGAAATGGGTGAAGAAGAATATGAAGAAGAAGATTATGATTCAGAATCAGAAAGATTTTCTGAAATCGATACTGCCGACGAATTAGATGAGGATTTTGAACATAATAAAGGAAGTGAATCTACCTTAATACAAACAAATACTGATGAAAACGTATTTGCAAATGAAGAAAATGCAAGTAAAAAGATACAATTGGACTTATATTCAAGCGAACATAGCACAGAAATTACCCCTTCGAAATCAGCTTCAGAAAACTCAGATTCTGAAACATTATCAGATCATTTTGCCGAAGAAACTGCTAATAAAACAACCGAAATTCTAAACTATTCCAATATAATGACAATTGCAATTGAACAAGTTACATTTCAAGAATCTGAAAATTCACAAAATGCGGAACAAAGCGTGCAAAATGAAAAAGAGAGAAATTCGGAAATTTCGGAAATGTTAAATAACGAAGACAACAATTCTTTCACAGAAGCTTTGCCGTTTACACATGAAATAGCAGTATTAGATTCGGAAGCTAAAGAGGAAATTTCAATAGAACAAAATACAACAGAAAAAATTGTAAGTACTCAAAGAGAACCACCATTTTCTGAGGGTCTTAAAATTTCTGAAAACTATATTGAGGATGAAGAAGCCAAATCGGAAAATATTTCCGAAATAAAAAATATTTCAAAAGTGTATCTGGACAATTCTTCTTCTTTATCGAAAGAAATACAAAATTTTGAAATAACCGAAAATGAAAGTACCACCGGCAAATCCAGCTATGTCAATCCATCTATAGAAATAGTTGAGTTAGAGGTTCTTCCGGTAGTGGACAAAATTGTACCGGTTATCAAAACTAATTCAAAGATTGGTAAAAAAGTTCCAGAGAAATCAAACAGCACAAAAAGTACAAAAGCTATTCAGGATGTGACGGACAGAACAGAAGACATTAAGGCCACAACTTCAAATAAAACAACACAATTGAAACCAGGCACAGGTGCTATTAGTAAAATTCCCAAGTTAGCAAACGATAAGCAACGTTCTAAATCACTTTCAAGTACACCAATGATAAGTTCAGTTAAAAAAATTCAGCTTGAACTCTTAAATAAACAGCAGGAATCATCCAAAACTATAAAACCATCAAAAATAACGCCACCAAAAATTATAAGAAAAAATTCAATTTCAGAAACTATTACAAAATTAATGGCACCAAAGCAGTCTCCTCTAGACATTTTAAAGAAAAATTCTGCTACCACTTCTGGATTGTTAAAAACAGACTCCAAAATTCCAAAAAAAAAATACCATGAAACATGTTTCAGCGATGAAAACCCATCTTCATCTTCAGAAGATGAAAGCCACATCATGGAGGAGCGTCTAAGGCGGAAACAAAGTGAACCTGTATTTAGAACATATCCTTCTTTACTTCAAGAGTCACAAACAGAACCCGTAGAAGTAAGCAAATATTAAAATATGCTATGTGTGCTCATAAACTTCCAATTTTTTCTTAAGTCTCAATTTTCACATTAAGTATCAATTTATAATTCCAATGAATTACAACATATCGATTCCTTTTATTTATTCTTTTGAAAAATTTTCACAATTTCATTTCATTCCTAAAATATTAAACCCCGCTTTTATAGACTAAAATTTTGAAATGAATTATAACAACAATAACAGTGAAAGAATAACAAAAAATTAAAACGTTTCAGGTAATAGCTAAGAAATTTGTCGAAGATGGCCTCTGCGATAATTATATGGAAGCGGAATTGGCTGCCGCTTTAGTAGAGTTGAAATTCCAACAAGAATCCGCCTTGTGGGCTGCTAAAGAGTGTAGTGATTTGGAACAAGCAATTTCCTTATTGCAACAAGAATGTGAATTATGCACAGGTCTTTATCCAATGAATCAAATAGTTTCCATGTTAAAATGTACACACACATGTTGCAAAGATTGTGCAAAAAATTATTTTACAATTCAAGTATTTAGATATTTATTTAAATTCATTCAAAACTTGGTATAAAAGATTTAACTATTTTAGATTACCGACAGAAGTATCAACGATTGTAATTGCCCTTACTGTAAAGTTCCAGAACTTCATGTTTCAGACGCAAATGAAGATGAAATTCTAGAGTATTTTTCCAATTTAGATATTTTTTTGAAAACTATTTTAGATAAAGAAGTTCATGAACTATTCCAAAGAAAATTACGGGATAGATCTTTAATGCAAGATCCTAACTTTAAATGGTGCGTTCAGTGCTCTTCTGGATTTTTCGCTAGACCAAAACAAAAACGTCTTATATGTCCAGATTGTGGTTCTATAACATGTGCACAGTGTAGAAAACCAGTAATATTGATTTATTTTGTCGTTATGCATATATAAGTTTGCGAATTGAATTTAACTAAATATGTATGTTTCAGTGGGAAAAACAACATGAAGGCTTAACATGTGATAAATACCAAGAATGGTTAGATTCCAATGATCCGGACAAAAATATACAAGGTGTGTTATTACATTTGGCAACAAACGGTATTGACTGTCCCAAATGCAAATTTAGATTTTCTCTGGCAAGGTATTTCAATATTTGCTAATATTATTTAAAAAAAAAGTAATTATTTTGGTTTTTTTGAAGGGGGGGTTGTATGCATTTTACGTGTACTCAGTGCAAATATGAATTTTGTTATGGATGTGGAAAGCCCTTTATGATGGGAGCTAAGTGTACTGTTTCATCGTATTGCGCACGTTTAGGTTTACACTCACATCACCCAAGAAATTGCCTTTTCTATTTACGAGATAAAGAGCCCCAACAACTTCAAAATTTGTTAAGAATGCATCAAATACCATTTGATGAAGAACCACAAATTGAAAAGACTGACAAAAAAATTAAACAATCGCTCAAATGCCCTGTCCCCTTGCAAAAAGAAACTCCTACCGGCTTGATTGATACAATTTGTAACGGAGATGTGCCTCAAAAATACGCTGGTCTATGTAGGTGAGTTTTGGTTCAAATACTTTTTATGGTTAGATTATATAGGCAGGGTGTATGAGACTCCATGGTATTCCCGAACAAGGTAATAGAGTTGATTCAGAGATACAAAAAAATATTGAAGAACATTTCTCTTTTCCTGCTGATTGTCAGTTTCTCAAAGTAAAGTTTTTTGAAAATAATAGATTTTAGAAATTCATATGAAACACATTTGCACGCATGACTTCAGGTTTCAATGTGCTCTTAAGACGAACCAATGAATGCAGCAAAAATAAAATTTTTTATGAATTTTATTAACGTTACTTTGTTTTACTACTTATTTTTAGTAATATAAGCAACAGGCAAATTTTTATAAAAATCTTCTAATCTCTTTTAACAGTATTTACATATGTATTACATTTTTCAAAATTTTAGATTTAGTTAAAACTTATATGTAATTTGTTTTTCTTCTTCAATTCAAATTCAAATTTGATTTTTTTTTTAATTTATACAAAAAAGTAATGAAACAAATCAAATCAATTTTGCAGAACTTATATTTTGAAGCAAAAATTTTGTAAAAATTATTTGAAAACTAACAATTAAAATAACAACCTACATACATACATATGTACATATATTCTAAAACATAATTAAACAAATCAATTTAGAATTCGAAAACAAAAGTTCAATAATATTCAATGAATATTCAACTCCTTTCCAAAATTAAGAAATATTTTACTTCTAAAACGAAAAAACTAGAAACTACGAAGATCTTAATTCACAAATATTACCAGAAAGATGGCTACAACACACTGTTAAAACATGCATGTATACTGCGGAATGGGTTGAAAAGCTTGAAATGCAAAACATTCATAAAACGTTATTGAAACTCCACTCATATTTTTTGTGTTAAAAAATGTAGATATCATGAAGTATAAGGTCTGTCTGGTGTAAGAGAGTTTTTAAAATTTTTTAAAAACTTTATAAAGTTTTTGTATACAAAGCGTCTGGCTGGGACAATACTTTTTGAACAAAAATGAGAGAAAATGATGACATTCTCACTTTCTGAATGTTTAAAGTTTTTTCAAGTTTTGGAAAGTGAAATATTAAATTTTAAAAACTTTTAAAATCTTACAGCGGTCGAAACATGTTTTTTTTGGTTATGTCAAAAGGTGTTATTTTTGAAAAAAATCAACAATAAAATTTTTTTCAAAACTTTTCAATTAAATATAAAATAACCAAAATGGGTTCAGAGATAGTTTTTTCTAAGTTTACACTTCTATAATCCAAAATCAAAATTTCTCGTTTTTGGATAACCGTTGATACAAAAAATCATATTTTATTGTATTTCTGTCAGCCGTAGTATAACCGAAAAATATTTGTTTATGTTTGATATGCATATGTATATACTTTGCAATTTGACGTTTATCACATATTTATAAAGTTTTTCAAAGTTTTGTTAGGTGTTCGGTCTGGTTTATTGTTTTTTACATGAAAATTTTTTTTCTTTTTGCGAGAAATTTTGTCATTGTTTGTCTTTTTAAAGTTTTTTTAAGTTTTATCTTAGACAGACCTATAGAAGTGTACATACAAAATTCTAACTTAAATTTTATAAAACTTTTATTTCATCATTACAGATCTATAGGAACTATCTAGTTTATTTTTTCAGAATTACAGTATCTTGTGTTAACTGATGTTTCGACTTAAATTATAATAAGAAGAATTTATTAAAGGTTTCGACTACTTAAGATATAAAACATATACATTATGTACATATGTATGTATTTTGTGTTATACAATAATAATGAAATATTAAATTTATACACATATTACGTAACATAAAATGAAATTTAATAACAATTGAAAATTTAAACATCTGCCCAAAAATTAAAGTGTTGCAGCAATTCTTTCATAATTGAGGTAAACTTAATATGTAGTTCAATGTTAAAATGTGTTGATAATACGTATGTACATATGTATGTATCTACATATAGGAGAAGGTTTTTGTTTTCCCTTTTGGATTATTTTCTGATTCGGTATTTTTGAAATTGGAAGCCTCATTTTTAACTGAGCATAAATTTTAATAAGCTCCGATTGAAATATGTATGCGCTAAATAATGTATATATACTGTTTAAGAAACACAAAATTACCTTAATTTATGTAGATAAGTATGTGTTAATATATGTATATTTTTCTTCTGAAAATTAAATTCTTCTAACGTAAAAGATTAGTTATTCTTTTTCTTAATAAGGTTTTGTGAAATCTGACTTTGATTCAAAAATTCCAAAAATGCATGGAATTTTCAACTGATTTTCGGTTGATTAAGAGAAATGGGCTATTTTTAACCGTTGTTTTGATCCTTATTTATTTTTATTGATAAGTAGATTTCGAATTTTTTATGTTATTCGTAAACTGTTCTCGAATTAATAAGGCTAATAAATGCTTTTGAGTATGTGACTTTGGATCATCGATTGGTGTTATCAAAAACTATCTCACTCCGTTTCGAAAATATCATCATGTTTGAGACTCAGGCACCATGTTTAAATGTTTCTTTTAAACGAAATTGTTTTCGTAGGAATAAAATACACTTAAAAATAATTTCAGAAGTCATATTTAGTGTTATTTGCTCTTCAACAATGAATAATTATTAATTATAATTACATATTACATTATTGTCATATAAATTTGTTTAAACAGAAATCACTACGTTGAGTACTTATGTATTTTGATAAAAGATAATCGAATCGATACTATATCAATACTATCACTAGATGATCTAGAAATAGTTGTGAAAAGAGCAAATATACGTTTACCACCTAAACCATATGGAATTGTGGAAGGTCTTTATAAGAGAAGACTGGTAGAGGTGAGAGGTTGTATTGATTATCAGCAAATCTAACAACTGAGCAATAACTTAAAAATTGACCACTTACTTTTTCCTCTAATGTGTCACATAATAACAGTTAATAATCAATATTTGTGCTAAATTAATTTTTTTCGGGTTTTACAACAGGCAGCACTATGTAGAATATTTGGTGAGTGAAGTATCAAAAGCTAACATAGATCCTCTTCCCATCCTTGATTTAACGGATTGTGTTCAAGAATTAAGAAGACGAGGAATACCATTACCAGAAAGAGGGCCTTGGGACACTGATGAAATATATCGTGGAATGTGTTCAAAGGTTAGGAAATAACACTTAGGAAATTTACATTACATGAAATTGCACTCATACTTTTGTTTAAAACAAAATAAAATTAACTTTCCAAACAATAATACATACCTTTATGATCATAAAGTATGAAATTCAAATTTTTTTAAGAAACTGATGTAAAGCCCGATACAATTATTTACATTATAAAATCACTAATTTTTGCACAATACGTGTTATTAATACTAATACTTACTAATACCGTTAAACTTAACTAAAGGATAATGTCTCCTAATTAAAAAATTCTCCAAATGTACAAAGTTTCCTATATTCAACGGCAAAGTTAATTAACAAACGATATGAGAAAAATGTCTTTATGAAATTTCCATTTTATTTTTTTAAAAATCTAAAAAATAATTTTGTTCATTTTTCAAATTTATTTGATCATTCCTAACGATAAAATTAAATCTAAGGTTGATTTCACCTATAAAAAATTAAAAACTCCTGTTAATGTTTAATTGAACGGTCAGCCAATACCATAAGCTGACGAGGCCAAGTATCTGGGTATGAACTTGAATGCCAAACTGAAGTGGAAAGCTCATGTAAAAAAGAAAAAAAGAGGAACTGCATTTCAAATATAGGAAGCTGTAGTGTCTTATGGGTAGAAACTCAAAACTAAGTCTACATAACAAGCTGCTGCTCTACAAGCAAGTGTTAAGTTCTTAATGGAAATAGTTAATGCCACTTGGTTCTAAGGTAAATAGTTCATGCCACTTGGTATGTACGCAACAGTTCAAGAGATCTCAATATCGCAACAGTTCAAGATTAAAATAAGAGTTAAATCGCATGACAACTTAGAAATGCTAAAATTGACAACGCAGAGGCGACGAGCAGAAGGCTGAAAAAAAACCAGGCCTTTTGATTTGATATCTTACATCAGCTAGAAATAACTAAAAAGTTATACAAGGGATACCACAGGGTGTTCACTTAACAGACGCTACTCAAAATATACTGATATTTATTACTAGATTATTAGATATTAGATAATTACTAGATAGGCTGGCATTAGGCTTATAAACAAAAAAAAATGAAATATGAAACTAATTCGGTTTGGTGGTTGTCGATGCTTCAGGCAGTGCTCAATTTAAAAAACACTGAAACATTTCTAATCATTAATGATTATTAATGATATTTCATTAATTACTTGCAATCTGTATTTAAATAATAAACACGACTGAAAATTATTTTAGTTAATATTACTTTCAAATGTTCTGCTAACACAACACATGTAATATATACTTTGTAATATTTAACTGCAACATAACTTGAATCCAAATTAACACCATCCACTAACCAAATTAAACTTTTAATTTAAATTTTGCCTAATATTTAAGATAATTTTTTAATAATTAACACAATTTTTTCATTATTTTCCTAAATTAGCATAACTAATGTGTTAGCAGTTTCCCAAAATCTTTAACAAACAATTTGTTTAGCAAAATAAAATACTAAAACACCGTTTTTTTTACATTTCAGATTGTTGAAGCTCAAATTCCTTTGAACTAAAATATTATCGGATACGTTGCACAAAATATCAAATGATTAATTATAAAAACGAAAATATAAAAATAAAACTTTTTTAATCCGAAATTTATCAATATACATATCGAAAATATTAGTGAAATTATGTCAATTTTCATGTTTTTACATACATAGGTGCATACAAGTTTTTTTTTTGTTAATTTTTTTTATATTTATTTTAATAAATTTTTTAATCTATCGTTATTTTGAACACTTTTGTTTGAATTAGAATTATTTTTTAAAAGCAGCGCCAATTGCAATAACGTATTTTTATGTTGTGTTTTTGAAACCGCTGAAACGCCGGTTGGTTTGCCTTTTTTTTTTTTGACACTCTTTGATTGAAAGCTTAATTTAGAAGTTTTGAAGCTGGAACTTCCATTAATATGTTTGGATAGTTTACGATTCCTTTTTTCACCAATTTTAGTTTCATTTGTAAACTCAAGCATGTAATTTCCAGTCTGAGAAACTGATTCAGAGTTCTTGTTTTTTTCTTTTGCTTTTACCTCAAGTTTATTCTTATTAAAACCAAAAGGTTTTTTACTTCTTCTTTGTAGGGGAATTCTTGTTTTCGTATAACAAAAATTACACGTAAAAACCTGAAATAAAATAGCATTTATTATGTACCACAAAATAACATTTATAAGTAAAAATTGAATTTCTGTAAAAACGGTGGAATTTGTCTTAAAATAAATGAATTAAAGCATTAAAAAAAGTTTGATCTAATAAACGCACGATCGACCAAAATAGGTATGTATATTCTAAATAATATCTAGAAATATATTTAGGTTTCTCTTTTAACAACAGAAAATTTAATGGGTTTTACAACCGAAAATTCAATGGGGTTCAATTTTTTCAATACTGACGTTCTTTAATAATACATACACGAAATATCATTAATTATTAGTTTTTACTAAATTTAATTTGCAAAAAGAAAATATGCATTTTCACTAGTGATGCGCATTATCGAATAAAAACTGTTTGTTTATTGAATTGTTGTAAAAAATTTATTCATTCGATAGTTTTTCCGTTTTAAAAAATTCTTAAAGTATATGCGTTCACGTACAATGCAAATTACCACAAATATTTTATTCCGAATAAAAGGAAGTTTTCTTTTCATATACCTAAAAAAAAAAAATAAGTTTTGGATATTTTCATATTATAACAAAACATTTAAAAATATTAATACCGTGCATAAATTTTTTTAAGCACGAAAGTTTTTTATTGAATCGTTTTAATATACTCGTATATTTGAAAAAAAGAATCAATCTAAATACCTTACTTAAAATTAATTTATTAAAGGTGTTTTTACTTAAAACCAAAATATATCTATTAATAAGTAATTCGACTCTCCGTTTACATCACACTTAACAGTAAAGAGTTAAACAGTATATTTCTTATTTTCTTTTTTCTACACATAAGAATTTTTCGGAGGGAAAAGGTACGCAATAAATGTCTATCTGTTTTTTATAATGTATTTTTAAAAGCGGGAGTTATTTATTTGTTCGTATATAAAGTATAGGAAAAAATATTAAGAATTTTGAAAGCGGCAGTTTTATTTCTGTAACTTATTTCAGTACAAGGTGGCAGAAAGGGTGTATCCATATTATAAAAGCGAAGCGATTTAAAAACAAAATTGCACTATTAAAATAAAAAACAATCATAATTTACATATTATATGTATATAATTTGAAAAAGAAAAATAATATTAACAAAAAACTTAAAATTTGTTAGTAATTTTCATTACATTTATTGTAATATAAACTATGAATTTTTTGTTTTTATTTCAATTTTGTTTTAAAAATTTATAACAAATATTTCTTATGAACATACATACATACACGCGTATCGGTAGTAGGCACTTTTTTTTTATAAATTGCTTAATTTCTATGCCTCGTCTACATTGCGGTTTGACATGAAATCAGCTCGAAACTCAAAATGCGTTTTTACTATGTTAGCTTAAAAGCCCAAAAACGATGTTCAGCTATTAAATTTCAAATCATTATTAAAATTTCAAGTCAAGTAAGCGACCTGCGTGAAGCCGGCTTCAGGTCAAGTAACATTTATATAGACAATAATAAGCTTGAAGCAGCCATATAAACGGGGTACATACATATTACTACATCATATTTTGTATCTACCTTGAATAGGTATGTACCGTATAACAAAGTGTGAAATTTTAAATTTATAACTATTACTTTCATAGAATGCTTTTTCCTAACTTTTGTGAAATGAAAAATAAATTTTGTTGTTATCAAAAAAAAAATAACAAAACTTTTACCTAACTTAATTTAATTTTTTTTCAGTTCGATGTTTTTAATACACTCGTTTGTTTACAATATTTTGTTTCTTTCTTGCATACACAACTTTTATTTCTAAAAAATGGAATATTTTAAGAATTTGAAAGCAAAATGCAAACGAAAACTAACGGAATGGAGCGAGTCGAACTACTTATTAATAGATATATGTATTTCGCTTAAAACTTCACAAAGTTCGTTGTATCTGCACACATGAATAAAAATTGCATTTTAATATAAAGAAGTAAATTGAGCTATATCTTCTCTTATTTTAATATAATGATGTCTTCTATATGCATTATACGTGAAACTAGAATTGAGCGTAATATAACGGCTAAAATCTCATATATTGAGTGTAAGCATATTTATCATTGCGCTTGTGTTATTGTCAAAGAGCACGATTTACAGTATTTGAAATCAAGCGGCAATAGTTTTAAATGCAAAAAGCGCTTAACCCAAAGAAGAAATTCAATAATAAAACAACCAATCCAGCAATCTCTTGTATCAAAAAAATCAACAACATCTAGATCTAAATTTACATTTGTTACTGGAACTGTTAACAAAAAAAGACATCAGTCCTCTTCTGATAATGAAGCTACACCTACAATTGTTTTAGATAACTTTGTGTCGGATACAACAACAAATTCACAGCAACATCAACAACTAAATTTCACCAACAATAACAGTTCCCTACGCTCTGAGAATGATTCTAATTCATTAAATATACATAATGCTACAAACACTGCTACACTTGAGCTGTTGTGTGAAGAAATTTTGTGCATAAAAAAAATAAATTCAGATTACGAGTCGCATACAGTTCGTCCGGGTGCGGCAAAACCAAAATACACAAAAATGTACAATTTGCATTGGAAAAATACCTCTCCCGACACTAATGTGTACATTCCAATTCAACACTAATGTGCACGAGTTGGCACGATTTCTATTATATTATCGTGTTGTATTGCACAAGTTACAAGAAAAAAATCTGTTTTAATAGGAAAAATTAAAATATTCGATAGAAAAAGCACTATCGAACATGTTGAATTAATTCAATCTTACCCATTCGAATATTTAAAATGAAATTTTTCGTAACAATTCGAATAATTCGATAGTGGATATTCGATAGTTCCGATTCGATAGTTTCAAACGAAATCTGTGTATATACTCGTACGCGCTTAGTATTCATTAAAGTAAATCTAAAGGCAAAAATTATATTTTTCCAAAGTTCGAATGCTTGGTATTCCGAAAGTACATCAAATACAAGATCGCGTACACTTTACCTCACTGAATAATTCCTATGTGTATAAAAATGAAAATAAGAGCCTGATCGTGTCACTTTCAAATTGTAATTATAAATGTTTTCTAATGGATGTTTCACTTTTCCAATAAGATTACTCATTTTTACTGAATCTTTTCAAAAATAAAGTGAAAAACTTTTGTATACAATTTAAAAAAAAACGAGATACGCAATCGGGATAATTCTTCTCACTCGAAAATTACATTATATGATAGTTACTTTCCTCTCACTTTCCGAGTAAAATAGCGAGATAGACGATCAGGCCCTAAGAAGGTATTCTGCTTAACTATTTTAGATAAGCGAATTTTTTATATGCATGGATTGGTGAGCGATTGCATTGATGTGATGTGAATGCAGAGTCAAATTACTTATAAAATACATATACTTTGATACATAATACCTATGTACTTTTAAGTAAACAAAGTGAGTCAATAAAATCATTCGAATATATAAAACTATTTGATAGTTGCAATCATTCAGTAAGGTTAGGTTGTCGCGGCTCCCCGAAGGGTACACATAGGCCAACTAGGCCCGTTGTGGTACCGCCGGATCTCTTTCCTCCCGCTTCTCATCTGTACCAACCCAAACCCCTCAAAAATCGATTCGAATTCCTAACGTTTACATTCGCTAAGCTAGTAGCGTGCCCGAAGAAGTAAGACCCAAGGAATCTCTGCCTGGAGTTCGCCAGTGCCGGACACGAGCAAAGAAGGTGGGTCACCGTTTCGTCCTCGCCCTTGTCACATAAATTCCTACAAATATGGTTTGCGGGGCGGCCCATTCTCCTTGCATGTTCGCCAATCAGACAATGGCCCGTCAGGACCACTACCACAGCACTGATATGCTCCCTTCTAAGAGAGATCATTAGCTCATCTGAGGTTGGTGCGCTTCACTGCCGCGTTGCGAATCAGCAGCAATAGGATTCCTAGAGGCATGCCCAAGTTCTCTTTTTCAAGTGGAATCCCCACAGTAGTTCCATGCATCGCAAGCTCGTCCGCCTTGCAGTTCCCCGGAACCCCACTGTGTCCGGGGACCCAGACCAAGTTTATTTCGAACTGCCCCGCCATCTCGTTGAGAGAAGACCTGCAGTCCCGGACCGTTCCAGACGTGGAGACCTCAGAGCCCAGTGCCCTTATCGCGGCCTGGCTGTACGTAAAAATACTGATGCCACCAGCCGACACGACATTGCAATCAAGCCAACGCAGAGCCTCCCCACTTGCGGCTACCTCAGCCTGAAATACAGTGATCCGGCACACGGAAGGAGAGCCCAACATCTAATTGCTCAGAATAAACTCCCCCACCCACCCCGCCATCGAGTTTGGATCCGTCCGTGTAAGAATGGACCAATCCGTCATCAGTAACCCCCTCGTTCAGCCAGGCTTTCCTAAGCAGAATCGAGATCCCAAAGTTCCTCGAAAGCTCCGGGGAACACAATCAATTACCCCCACGGCATGTCAATAGTCCACAAGAACGAAAGCATTCCCCCTAAGGGCACAAGACCGCTGAGATGCGGCTCGCAAGCGCACCGCAGATCCCGCAGCCATCTGCCAGCCCAGCACATCTAATGGCGGAAGATGGAAGAGAATCTCGAGAGCCTGAGTAGGTGTGGCCAATACACACCATCGCCATTCTTTGAGTCTTGCTTTTCAGCCTGAGTAGCTTATCAGTCTGAACTGCTTATCATTTAGTTGCTCACTATCGATAATTAAAATCACTCGATAGTTCCCATCACTAATTTACACATCGAGATCAGTTTCACTTTACAGGTATGTCAAACTTTCGACAGCAAAATATTTTAAATAAAATATTAAAAACAAAAAACAGCGGATTCTGGAAAAAAAAATTTTTAAAGTTATTTTCCGTCATGTTACTTTTAAAAATCTGACAGAAAATCTGATGATAATCGGAAGCATGTTTCTATTTTTTTTTATCAGATTTTTTCTTATGTCAGACTTCCCCTACCTACCAAAATAAAGAATCTGCAGTCAATTTGACGTTTTTAATTTTGGTAAAATCTGAATTTTTAACGAAATTAAGAATGTACTAAATTCACTTTGTACCATTATGTCAAAAACAAACGAAATTGACGCTAACTTGACATATTTTTGCAGACAAAAATTTCAGTATGCAGTATGCATTGGAAAAAGAATAGGAGGAAACATCAAAATGTAAGTGGAAAAGTATTTTTACCGACCGTATTGTGTATACAATAGGTAGGTTATGTGATGGTAACAAATTTTGCATATCGAGTTTTCGGTTGGAATGCACTTCTCCATAGTAAGGAATTGTAAATAAACTATTTTCAGCAACTGTCGGTCCGTCGGTCTGTGTGTACACGCGTGTATCTTAAGTTCTGCTGAACCGATTTTGATGAAATTTTATATGTAAGTTTATTTCCACCATGGCACGGATTGATCAACTTTTGGGATATATCAGGCCTCGGGAACTGCACTTTTTAGCGGGCCTGTTTTACATTTTTGAACATTTTGAAGAAAATATTCAACCGATTTTCTTGAAATTTTATGTATAAGCTTTGCTCGACCGTCCGCAAAAATTCCTAACTTTTGGAAGAAATCAGGTATCAGCAACTGGGCGTTTACTACGGGCCAAATATACATTTCTGCGTATATAAAGAGAAATAATCAACCGATTTCATTGAAATTTAATATTTAAATTCTTCGTATTGAAATAATGAACATTTAAATTTTTTGGAAAGATCAGGGCTGGAAAACTGATTTGCGGGCCGATTTTACATTTTTCACCACATCTACGGAACGAATTGATGGAATTTCTTGAAATTTGATATTTGAGTTCTGGTTGTTACCGAAACTAACTGGCGAGCATTTCAGGGAATTCGGGTAGCACAAAGCGAAACTCTACTAAGAGCCAAATTTACATATTTCTAGGTATGTTAACTATAAGCTTACTAATGTAACACTTTCAATTAACTAGATAATACATATTGCGGTCGGTTATGTGCTGACCACATCAGATTTTTTTTTATGTAATTTAAGGTACACACTTGACTAAATTAGATTTGCTTGTCTACATTATATATATATTACAAAATATATGTATACCAAAATTTTTAAGAAAAAGTAGATTGCATATTCTGCGGAAAAATTTTGCAGTTTTGCTAGACGCCCTCCGATTAGACATCGAATTCAAATTTAATTGAACATTTGGGCATGATCTTCTATCTCGCTATTTTATTCAGCAAATGAGAAGAAAGTGATAAACTATCATATATTTAAATAATGAAGTTTTCAAGTGAGAAGAATTATTTGGTTTTCCATCGAACTTTATTTGGTTTATCTCGTTACACTTGAACGAACGTATGTTCGAAGGGTCTACTAAATTTGCCTTATCCTTTGTAATGCTAAGAAGTAATGGTCTGAGATATAGATTCAAGTGCATGTTTTTGATCAGCGTCGAATTTTATTACAGTCATTCATTTACAATTGATTTACAGTCGATTTAGCTTTGTCTGTCCGTCCGTCCCAACGATAACTCAAAAACTAATTGAGCTAAGTTCACCAAATTTTCCCAAATGATTTATTATTATTAATGCCAGAACCCTATTTAAATTAGATATGACCGGGACGCTGGTTCGGTCATATCTAATAAAATTCAAAAAATAAAATTCAAAAAATTTAATCTTATTGGAACACGAAATATTCATTCGAAAAACAGAGAACTCTGATTTGAAAGTGAATAAAAAGTGAGTAAAAAAGCGAGATACACGATTAGACTGTAAATGTAATGTGTAACACCCGCCTAAGAGAGTAATATTCTACTGTAACTAAACTGCCTTCTATTCAGGAGTAAAATTGAGCATAACTTAAGAAATTTTTGATTTTTTTTTATGTTGAATTTATTCAGTCAAGTATCCATTACCCATTATCCATAAAATCTATAAAACTTTTGAAGATTTCCAGCTCATAAAATCTATATCTGGATTGTGTTACCTATTTCGTTTATGATCGATTATCTGAAAAATTTGCTAAAGGTTTTGCAGATATTTGAATTTGAAAATTTCAATACATATTTTCCTTTAAATTATACTGGTTACAAATAACTTTGCGGCAACTTTACCTACAGCTGGTATATTGCTCGTTTTTAAAAATTGTTAATTTTACTATACCCTAAAATCTAAATCGTAAAAAAATATTTCAGACATAATGCAAAAATACAAAATACTACGTTAAATTTAAATAGCGCTGATGCTTCAGATCCTAGAAAAAGCAAAAGATGAAGAGGATTGATTTTGAGCACATGTGGTAAAGCACCACATTTTATTGCACAACTGTAAGAGACCATAGATCTTATTAAATTTACTAATTTTTCTTGTTTTGACTAACAATTGAAAATAATATGCTAAAACGAAACCTTTCTGAAACCAGCGGAATAGAAATGTTAAATGACTGAAATTATGTATTACAAAATTATCATTATTATGATATTTTATTAAAATGTTATTTGAGCAACAAGCTTCAAGTAAAAAAAAACTTTTATTTTTTTTATATTTCATAACGGAAATAAGTTTGTTCTGTTTTAGTACGTATCAAAATGACGTTATAAACGTGGTAATCAAGATTTTATGAATTTCCATTACTGATATTAATATTTCAAATATTAATAAGGAATCTATAATTTTTTCATTACATTTTGTATTTTTCAATAATATAAGTTTAGTAATATTGGCTAACAAAGAAGGTAATGAGAGTAATATAATGTAGTATATTTAAACAATTTGAGTTATTACCTCATTTCAGTTATTGAAAAGATACTTATAGGATTGTGTCAAATAATTCCAATTAGTTTTAAAGTTATTAAAAATAAATATATGTATATGTATGTACCTAATTCCAAACAATTCTTTTGTACATAATTATTTTAAAACTATTTCAAACATGTTATATTTAGTGCTTGAAAAGTATATGTGCTCTCCCTTCATATATTAGTACCAGATAAACAAGAGTAAAGTTATCTATTTATAAAATCACATGAGTATCTTTCATTTTACAATCGGAATTTTTGAGTTGTTTGCTAAGATACAATTTATTTCGAAAACAAAAAAAATATTCAAATCCGGTCATAAAAATTTATGATTGTCTTTTACAAAACACTAAATATTTTTTTACTTAGGTAATTGATATATTAAGTTTTTAAAATTTTTCTCAAATAAAAATAGCTAAGTATTTTAGATATTATTTTCTAATTCTCTCTTCACAATTTTTCATTACTATGTAGTTATATCAATATTTAATAATTATTCTTTGAATAATTATATTTTCAACTTAACACTACAGTTACATCCCATAACTTGAGTTAACTTGCCTTATGAGAATAAAGCTCTTTACTTAAAAATAATGAAATGCTTTCTTTACCACATAAAATGTTGAAGATGTATACAATTTTTTTGGTGCAACACTTATCATTTTTACTTATCAAAATATGATAAGATGCAAAGTTGATTAGTGAGTGAAATTTGTAAAACTTTGGTGCAACACTTACAAACTTATCTTATCAAAAAAAATTTATTTTGAACTTGATAAGTGATAAGTGGTTGGTGCAATAGGTGTATTTTTTGTTTGTATGACTACAAACTTGTTAAATTTTCTTTTGAGATTTACTTTATTTTAATTATAAAAATTATTACTTTTAGTAATTTACTTTCTAAACTTAATTGCTTTCAAAGACAAGTACAATTTGTATTAAAAACAAAAAAAAACAAACGAAAATAAAGAATTTTAAAATATATACTGGATATAAACAGTCATAAGTAAAAAGGAGGTTATTGTATTCATAATATAAACATTTTACTTTTACATGTTATTGTAATTGAAGTGACACATCTAGTGAAAAAATTATTTTATTTTTAAAAAATTAAAGATTTTAAAAAACCTAAATTTTAATTTTAAAAAACCTAAATTAAAGTTTTTCCTGCCTTTGTGTTTTCTCGCAATTTCTTTGTTGTTTTAAGAAAAATTTTAAGAACTTACTGAATCTTTTTCTAAAATAATATCCCAACTGAATGTTTTAAAGAATACGAATTAATCCAAAAACTCCAAAGTTCCAATATGTAATACAAAAATATCTATATCAGAGGTTCCCAAACTTTTTCTCTTGTAGACCCCTTGTCGTATTTCCAACAGTAGCAGGGTACAACTATGATGTGAGAAAGTCTAATAAAAAACAAATTTAATTAAGTTCATGTCTTTCTATAGAACCCTAGCAGAGCTTCATAGACCCTTATATAGACTAGATCTAGATGATATATTTTGACATGTGTACAAAAAGCAATCTGAATTTTTTCGTTAAGCCCTGTTGTTTTACGTGTCGACTGTGTATTCAATGCATTTAAGAATACATAGTGTACGATGGGAAAAATGCACATTTTTAAAACACATTAGCACACTTTATTTTAGTACCTATATAGAAAGTATGAAATTTGATGAACTATTAATACGCTCATGAAAGAAAAGTGAGGTTTAAAAAACTTGAAAATGTAAAAATTTTAATATGACAATCATTTTTTGAACCCTCTCGCATTTCAACAATAATTCACAAATGCATTTCGCATAAAAAAAATTATTCTAAAAATACAAGTACTTACCTGCTGTTAATTTTTAATAAAATAATAACTTACTAAATTATTAAGCTGCCTTTTCTTGCAAATCTTTGCACCAGGTTTGTGTTTAATTGGGTCTGTTTTTCCACACACTAAGTTTTCTGCCAATTTTATTCTTGAATTAACTTTAGTTGATTCAAAAGCCAATCCATAATAACCTTTTACCCAATTGGTCACACATTTATTACAACCATCTTTCTCCATAAATAGTTGAATATTAGAACCAGCATTATATTTGAAAAGTTTTCTTGCATTCGATCTATAATTAAAAAATAAAAGCTTGACAAAGTTCAACACTTTCTTAATAAAACCAACAAGTAATAAGATCTCAGAAGTCTATTAGCTTGTGTTTCATGTTCAAACATTGAAGACGCTTCTAGTAAGAACTTAATTCTTCCATCCATGCTAAAAATTTTTAGGATAACTTAAATGTTAATTTAAATCTAATCAATTGTATTCTGCAAAATTGTACACAAATTTTATTTCAACATTTTATCCTTCTGATATTCTTCTACTATGTTATTTTCGGATGCAGGTATTGAAAAAATTTAAATTTATGTTTATATGCACGCTATGTGTCAAAACAAACCCTTCCGTTGTGTTATCAGCAAAAATAGTAAAACATACAAATATACCTATTTCCCAAGTCTAAGCTCAATTGTAGTATACACATATTTGTCATTTTGGGAAATTCAAGTCTGAAGCTTGCTTAAAAAATAACGTTTAAATTTTACTAAATGACTCGGGATTAGTTTTGATTAATTTGATTAATTTTTTAATTTCGATTTACTTTTTGGTTTTTTAATTAATTAATTTTGATTAGTTTTTTTAACTTGATTAAAACATAACTCAAATATATTTTGACAATGTCAAAGTGTATGCTAAAATTAACACGAGTTATCAAAAAATTTTATTATTCCTACTAAGTTAACTGAGTTTAGATTTAATTCCGTCCCTAAATATTTTAACTAAATTTAGTTAATTATAATACACATAAGATCAAAAATATTTCTTTTTACAATAAATCAAACTAAACAAAAATTTATTTTCAAAGTAAAAAATTTGCTTACTTAATTTGCCTATTTACATAAGTTCAAATTTAAGTAATTAGGTGCATATTAGGTCTGTCTGGGATAAAACTTGAAAAAGATCACTTTCATCACTTTAAGACAGTGATTTTTTTTTTTTTGACAAGGTAGTCAGTCAAGCTGTGATGGCTTAACTAGTTCTTTGTAGAGTTCTCTGTAGCCAGACATACAAAATTTCAGATTACGTTGAAATTTTGAGCCTTATTCTAGTTGTCACGTCACTTACGTGACATTTGTCGTTGTCGCTGTCACATCATTTGAAATGTGATATTCTAGTTGTCGAGTGACGTGACTGCGAGAAATAAACGAAAATGAAACGTTTCAAGTGAAATTGATACATTTTAAAAAGAAATTTTGGCGAGTAAAGTTCAAACTAAAAAAAAAATTCGGTGTATATATTTATATTTTTAAATCCGAGGGAAATAAAAAATGTCATCATTTGCATTATGGTTTACGGATTCATCAGACTCCGAGAGTGATGAAATTGAAAAAAAAACAACAATTAAGGATCAAAAGATTTAAGATTAGGGACAGCTCTAATTCATTGGATTTGCCAAATTGAGTGTAAGATAATAATTTTTTCAAATACATTAGTTACAAACATTTTATTTTATTCACAGATTTATAAGCTATTACAGACTTTCAAAGGAGGCCTTTCTATATTTACTAAATATATTCGAGGGAAAAACAAATACACCTAAAAGGTGTTTTGGAGTCTCACCTATAATTAAATTAGGAGCTGTTTTACGCTTCCTATCTGAGGGCAGCTATCAAAAAGGTGCTGCTAACGATTTATATGTAGGTTTAGCGTTAAGACGCGTTCTACGTCATTATCATTTTGAATAAAAAAAATTTCCAATTTATCGGAACGTTGAAGGCCTTCCAAATTAATTTTTCGTCCATTGGAGTATTCCTATTCGTTTTCAGAAAAAGTGAATAACCAAAAAAGAGAAAATAAAAAGAGAACGAAGTGTAATTGCAATGGTTCAGTATACGAAAATTTGACGTTTTAAAAAACCTTCGCAAGTCCGAACTAAAGTTCAAGTTAATCCAACTTTTTGAGAGAGGAAAAAAAACTGTACTAAAAAAAGAGAATGTATACATTTTTGGGTATACATAAATATTTTCACATTGTTAGTAAGGCTAATCACTAATTTACCTAAACTACCGCATCAGTACCTTTAAAACGTATACAAATTTCTTTATAATATTTTTGTTATGTTCGATTTTATATAGGAGACAACTTGAAACGACGCATTTTTTACAATGATTATAAAATTATAAAGCACTATCATACTTATAAAACTTAAAATCAAATAATTACAAACTTAAATTCTAAATTTAAATCTAATAAAATTTTTATTAACCTTTTTTTAAGCCGTGTATTCTAGACTAAAAAATATAGGCACCAATTTTTTTTATCCAGTGTATTATCATTTTTTACTCTCAATTCTCTCATATACATATGTTGCCTGACACGGCGGTACAAAAAAGATCTGGAAAAAACTCAAAAAAATATTTAATCAAAATAATAAATAAAATTTTGAGTCGAAATTTGAATTTTGGATACGTTGTTCATAAAACTTTGAATTTCATTTTAATATAAAAATTATGAAAGTAGACAAAAACCATCATTTTTGAAAAAAATCATCAATAACAACAAAAAAAAAATGATTTTTTAGAAATGTTATTTCGTCAAAAATACATATGTATGTACATATGTATGCAATTTTACAAATGCATTCACAAAAAAAGCAGAGCTCAGTCCTTGATATTTAGTAATGTCAAGAATATCAGCTTTGATAAAGTGCGTATGTAGCGCACGAAATATATTAGCAAAAAATAAAAAAAGTATTTTATTCCGAATAAAAGGAAGTTTTCTTTTCATACCAATAAAAAAAAAAAGAATTATATTTCGGAAAAATTATCAACCATTGAAAAAAAATTTTTTAGTAATGTCAAGTTTAAAACACAAATTTTACTTTACAAAACTTGAAAAAACTTTAAGCATTGAGAAAACGTGAATAAGATCATTTTCTCTTAATTTTTTTAAAAAAGTGTAATCCCAGACGCTTTGCATGCAAAACTTTTATAAAGTTTTTTCTAATTCAAAATGAATAATAATCAGGAAGATTCATCATGAAATTTCCTTAAATAGGGCCAGCTAAAAGCCGTATAACAGGCCATCCTCATCGAGATAGAGAACGTTTCGCTGCGAAACGAGATACAGTTTTTGAGTGCATCTTGAAAACTTAGCTAGCTTTCGGTAACAGGTGCTGATCGCAAAAGTCGAGATTGGCTGCAGTATACCGTCACTAAAGTCAGAAGGTGAGCCTCTTCTATTAGGCAATACAGAGTTGTTATTGCAATCAATGGCTGGTGCAAAGCGGCCACTTGTGGCAGCGAAGTTTGCAGAACGCTCTATCGTCCGTCAATGAGCGAACTTTCATACCTCAAGAAACCACTAAATGAAAGATAAACTGTCCACATTAGTGGCAGGGATAAGCGGCAACCAAATTACTGAGCGAAATAAAGGGACTTTTGCGTGAATAAGCAAGCGAGCTCTGATGGCTCAGGAACCCTTCCACTTAGCTTCCAGTGGAGAGGCCCAAGAAGCTAAGGAGTAACTGGCGCGTATTGAAAAGACCAGAGCATACTTGTTTCTTACATTATAGAATTCTGGCTTGCGGCGCATGTACTCCCCTGTAGACGCGACTAGAACTTTATAATGTATTCGCCCTAGTTTGGCAAATGGAGAGGAATGTCCTCCTGCTAAACTTAAACTTAAATACAAGAGGAGAACCGAAGTCTAATTGGTGGTTGGAAGTCAACGTCCTCCACACATGAGAAAGAACCAACACTAGGAGTCAGTTACTATTCGATTTTACTATTAGTAATAAAATTTTTCTACAAAATGTAGGCAATTGGCCAACTTTTACCAACAGAGTTAAGAGGGAGGTTCCAGACCTCATCTTACTCGCACTCTTTTCGTGTAATAGGATCCTAAACTGGCATGTTTCACTGGACCACAGGCACATAAACTTTCATATATGTATCTGGCATTAGACTTTTACCTAACCAGGAAAGCTAAAAAAGCTCATGAACTAAGTCGTCATAGCTTATTCTTTCGAGAAAGACTGGGTGCGTTAGAAGCAGTGATTAGGACTATTGATGAATTGGAAAGTGCTTCAAATCAGATCTACGATGGCACACATGATTGGCACATTTGAGTACAGCTGCATCGATTATCCATGTGCTTTGTTGACAGTCATTCCAAAGGTGAGTAGTTCACATTTTCGGCAAGTAAGTTTCTTGGGTATCGCGCTGCGCATTTCCCGTCAGTCACGCATGGTGAATTGAATCTACATGGACCATGAATCGCAAATAATTCGGCACCACAAGCGTTGCTTGCTATTTCTGCACGAACATGAATATGTATGTATTTCATTGAATTTTGCACATATTAATGCCGTAGATACGCATCTGTAGATACGTTGTGTAGTGACACCAATTTGCACTTGTTAAGTGCAAATTTAAATTAATGCAAAATTAAATTAATTTGTAATAGTAAAGTTAAGTAATATTAAAAGTGAAATCATTTTCTCAAGTAGTTGCAGTATTGAATCGGCAATGTTGTATTAAATAAATTTGAAAAAAAAAATGTTATCTGCGTCTGGCAGTGGAATTTGCTTTTGAACTTTGAATATTGCAATTTGAATCCTTCCTTGCTTTTTGTAGCTTTAGAAAATCATGCATTGCGCTATCACATATCAGGGGTGCAGGCTTACATGTAAAAATATGTACATATGTATGTACACATGTATGTATACGTTTTTGTTATTGAACTACATATGTATATTTCAGGTTTCTTCGGAATCACCAAATAAACGTTGTACGATTATGTTAAAATCGAAAGAAAATGAAATTTCAATTAAATTTTTAATATACATATTGTCTTTTTTTTTTAAACATTGTATTATTTTACATTTGAAAACTTAAAAATTTGATTTATTGAATTATTTAATTTCATTGCTTACTTTAATAAGTAAATTTTTTTGTATTAAATTTATTTTAATTTAAAAATTTTTACTTACAACAAAAACACATACTTACATTCATGTGTGTGTATGCATCCAAAAATTTTGAAAACACTTTGACAAATACATATAACGTCGCAGACAACATCAAATAATTTCTAAACATAAATATCGTAAAATGTTTTTTGTTGATATTTAAGAAAATGATACAATGATACAATGTCCGAAGAAACCCTTTATCTACAAAAGTTTGCATGTATGTATGTACCTAAAATATAAAGTATTTATTAAAAGTACAATATTAAGTATTGTATTATAAATAATGTTTAGGGTAGCTCATCTTGGTGTAGCAATAACCATTAATTAAATGTAAGGAAGGGAATACAAAATCCAATTCAAATGTCTTACCAAACCCTTTTCAAACATTTTTATGACGAAAATAGTTTGAATTCAGGTTTAGAAAATCACAAGGAATATTTCATTTTTGTGATTTCAAAGGTTTCTAATCTATTCCATTTTGTGTTCAGCAGTTGTATAGCACTTTATCGAACCCAGCCCTTCAACATACTCCTTTTTTTGAGTTTAGTCGAAATATTTTTGCTTCAGTGATAGCAACCCACTGTCTGGTTATTTCTGAAACAATTCATTTGGTTGCCAAAAGTTATATGGGTTTTTATGCAACCGGACAAATAATTTTTTTTATAATAATCTCCTGAGCGAACGTAACGTAATGCCAAAATTTCAAGGCGATTGGACGAATGCATGGGAGAATGCATTCGAATCGCATAGACGACATGTAGGCAAACAGACAGGCATTCATTTTTTACCTATGTATGTATGTATGTATACATTTAATTTAGTACGTCGAAACAAAAAACACATAAGTATGGCTGTGTATAGTATGCATATAAGTAGGAGATACATTAGTAAAGTATATCATACATAATTAGTAAACTTCAATTTAGTTAAAATTTAATTTTAAATTTAAATTTAAACCTTAATTTCAATACCAATTTTTTTTCAGTTTTGATCGAAATTTTTAATAAATTAAAAGAAAATGATCTTGTGGAACATTTATGATGGCAAAAAGCGCCTTCTATAGTTATGGAAGCTAACTACATGTAAATTCGTCGTCTTCGAACTTTTACTCTCTTTTAAGGTCTAGACTTGTATTTGTGTTTTTGGGTTACGTAATATAAACACTTGTTCGTCTAACATTAACTCATCTTATTGAACTCTACAGAACTAAAGAAATTAAAAATAACAACATTAATTTTTAGTTTATTTCCTTTATTCCCCAAGAAATAAATTGAACAATATTTTCGTTACATTTTTTTTTTTTTTTTTAGCATGTATGAAACATAAAAAATGTGCACATTCAATTTTATCATGTTTTCATTTTAAAGTTTATAATTGGTTTTCCTTACTAAAAATTCTGCATTTGTGAATATTGGAATTGTCTACGTCTAGTGATTACAACTTTATATTATAATTTTTTGTAGCATTTTATTTTTTTATAATTATTCATAATGAAGCCACAGTAAATTTTTTTATGTATATTTTTCTTAATCTTTAAAATAATTTTAAAAAATTGTTTTATTAATTAAATACAAACAAACTCTCTGGAAAATTTTTAGAGCATTTAAAATACTAATTTTTGCTAAATGACAAAGCAATATTAAAAGTAAAACCAAATTAAATAAATTAAATTTTAAAAACAATTAAGCATGAAATTTTAAATTGTCTGATGTAACAACTTGTTAATATCGATTTACCATGTTACCGTTCCTCATTGTAGTATACCATAAAAATTGATTGAATGATAAGTTCAGTATTTAATTATTTGTACAGTTCATTAATAGCTACTAAGTAATTAAAGATTTTCGTTTAGCGCAGTTAATTTTATTTTTTTATATAATTTTGTATGTACGTATTTCAAAAGCAAATTCTAATCTTATTAAGAAATAAAATTGATCTAATACAGTACTACTTTATGCAAATGTAATATTGACAATTTCTCAATTGATTTAAAACTATAAAACATTACATGCAAACTATTGAAATTAAAATAAGAATTATGAATGTACATTCTATTCAAATTTAATTTGAATCACAATTAATATCGCTGATAATATAGTGAACGTATATTGTGCTATATAACGAGAGATTCTGAAAAAAATGGAATGAAAAGTTTAGCATTTCGATTTATTTTCCCATATTCTTTTTTAAGCCTATATAGTTTAATTTTTTTTTCTTAATAAACCAAAATTTCAATATATATTTTAATTTTTAAATTATTGAAGCAAGTGTAAAAAAAATTACTATAGATAATGGCATTAAAATTTTTACAAATTTTTTTCAATTTCTGCATTTTATTTGAAAAACTATTATTCGGAAAAGAAAAAAAAATAACTCGAAAAAAGATAAAAATAAGATATAAGAGAAAAAGAATATATAAAAAATCAACCGAAAATTACCATAAAATTATTCTTTATCATTAATTTATATTTAATACCACATAGTATGTTATAATTGAATTATAATCAAAATATTCAAAAATAATAGTGTAAATACATATCGTATGTTTAGAATTTCAGCTTAAACTTAGTTTATAAAATCAATATTTTTTTAAAAACTTAAAGCATTTACTTTAATTTATCGCATAAACTTTACATTAAAATCGCCTGTTTTTTTTAAATATTAAAAATTACTGCAATATTAAAAAGATAAGAATTTTAAGCACCACGGTATTACTGCAAGATATACATACATATAAACAATCATATATACCTTTCTGAAAATATAAAACAATAAATAATCTAATAATTTTAATGTAATTAATGTCTTTGCGATAGATTAAACCTAAAAAAAAAGTCCAAAACTAGTCTTTTCACTTTGCCTTGTGTTAAGAAAAAATGTACAAAATATTTTATATTATAATTTAAATAAAAAAAATAAAGTTACAAGAAAAATCAATAATTTTGATTTAAATTTAAAAAAAAAAATGAAGTCTATTTCTTATTAGTTTTTTTTTTCTCTATTTAAAGATTTTATAATAACCAAAACATAAGGCAAAAAAATGCTTATTTCGTAAGCTCTTTACTGATCTTCATCACCTAATTCATGTTTTATTTTTGAGAAATCAAATTCCTCTCCAGTTCCACGCTTGAATATATCTAATACATCCAAACATGTTGTTTCAAAATGTGTTGTTGCATCATATGATTCTGATATGAATACTTGAGAATCTAGACCTTTGTCAATGGGTTCGTAATAATCAGAGACACTAATGTATTTTTCTTGAATTGGACCTAATAATTCTAAACCGGGTTTTATTTCAGCTTCTGGATTGTCAGTTTCCACAGTTGTAGATACCATTCCAATAAACCACCCTTTAGCTGCAACCTGATGAGTATAGCTAACTAAAGATACATAAATATCCGATTTACGGTTAACTTGTTTCTGTGGTATTATTATTTGAGTTGATAAAGCATCACGAGTATTAGCAATTGGATGATTCAACAAACAAATGCATCGTATCACTTGCCCCTTCTTACGAACCTAAAATAACACATGATTATATTTTATTTAATTGTCATAACGCATTTTTTTAAGCTATTAAATATGAGCTAAATCATACATACTTTTTCTGGGACATAACTTGGGTCGCAATAAACTTGTTTACATTTTGCAACTTCTTCTCCAGATCTAACACCAACCACCTTTCCATCTTCACCCAAAACGATTTCATCGATTGGCTTGTCTAGCATATATGTACCACCATAAATGGCTGACAATCTCGCAAAACCTTGGGGTAGCTCTCCTAACCCGTACATAGGATAGAGATATGGGGATTTTCCATATCTTGCCAATGAATCGGAATATAGCTTTATGCGTCGAATCGTATTAACAGCGGGATTATTAAGGTATTCGTCATCTCTGAAAAGAGCCAGAGCATGTCCAGTGAAGTCTTGAGTATTTGTATCTAATCCAAATTTATCGTATAATGCTTGCATATTAGAAGTCATTGGATCAAAATCTTTCCAAGTTTTTGGATCATCTTCCTTGAAATCTTGAACATAGACAAGAAAGTTTCGAAAACGACGTTTTTCAAACATTCCTGGAATATAAAATATACACCTGCATTGATTTATTTTTAATAAAGATATTTACGAATTCAATTGAAATGCAATTTAAATGAAATGGCTTGCAAAAAAATTATTACATTATAAAAAAGTACTCCTTCTATTAAGGAGATAAGCACAATAATTTCTCGCATGAGTCATTAATAAGAAAATTTTTTTGAAACAATGGATATTTAATTACTTATTATTATAAATAAAAAAACTGAAAGTTCACTAAACTAAAACTTATATATTTTAGTTATCTATATCCATTTGAGTTAAAATAATATCACACAAAAATGAAAAAGCAAGCGCAAAATAAAAAATTATTTTAATTTTTTCCATCTCACTGCGCAACGAAACAACGACGTGTCATTAAATTTGACAATTATACAAATTTTCACAAAAATTTCTTGTCTGAAATCTATTTTAAGGAAATCTATTTTACAAACTAACCCATCAAATCGGATGCTAACGCTTCCTTTTGATCTACAGGGACCTTTGCAATCTTTCCAGCCTTGTAGACATAACTGCCTTCAATTGATTTAAATTCCAAATATCGGGTAACGCCCGTATGAATCAAAAGTTTAACTAATTGACCATTTGCCATTAAAAATTTTGGAATTAAATCAACATTCCAGTCTCGGCCACGTCCATAAACGCTTTCCTGAAATTTTCCTTCTTCTCCGAAGCGTTGAAATAATTCTTCTAATGGAGTAATTGAAGCCGATTCGCCTCCATAATACTTATTACGGTCGATATGCAAAACCTTTTTCCCGGAAACTGAAAGCATTCCAGATAAAATGCACTCCTTCAAGCCAGTTCCCAATACAATTGCGTCATATTCAGCATCCATTATAGAATTATTATATTCTTTGGAAAATTAGTTTACTAAATTAATTATACTTTTAATAAATTAATTTGATTTTTTTCTACACACGAAAATCTGATTTCCACTTTACAGCTTTTACCTTTTCTTCTACTGTTGCAAAATGAAAAACGAAGTTATCCTTCGTTAAATTTCGTAAAATATCGTGACGAACTAAACCTTGCATCAGAATCAAAAATCAGAAAATATTCTAAAATGTCATTATATTCATAATATTACGCTATCTGCCGTGAAATAATTTTACTATAAATAATGAAACAGCAAATATTCTGCTGAATATTATATTAAAGAATGAAACAGCTTGAATTAGATGAGTAAAGAAATTTATGTTATATTTTAATTCTATATAACAAAATAATTATTGCGAAACAGCTAAACTAAGCGCGATATGGCCACTTGCAGATGTTCCATGGAATTTGCAGGTGTTCTAATGGAAGTTAGAAAATCATCTGTTGTAGTAAAAATATTAAAAACATTTTATGATTTTAAAAAACATCAGGTATTTAAAAAATTAAAAATGTAAAGGGTATTCCAAGAATTTTTATTTAAAATTGATGCTTTAAATATATTTTATTATATTGTGTTATTTAACTTTTATTATATTGTATTCATTATGTTGCTCACAAAAATTCAAATTTAATTTCTATTTAAAAATCAGATTATAGGTACTTTGTTCAATTGAAAATTTGGAAAAGAAATGAATAGAACCATCACTTTTTTCTACGAAAATACACAAATAATTATTAACCTTAGAAATCACGGTAGAGTATCTAAGATTTGCAGTTCTAACCTTTCTACGGGCCTTTTTTTTATCTGGCTTACACTGCTTAAAAAATCGTATCTTCAAAAAAATATAGTGAAGCCAAAAACTTCAGGTAAGTTTTTTTCTTTGCCCCGAGAATCGTCAAACTGAAATTAACATTAAATACTAAATGTTGTTATTTTTCTTTCTTAGAGAAGTACGCGCCGCTATATAGAAAGTAAACAAAAAATATTTTGATAATTTTATTTATAAAAATAATGCAGTTTTTAAATCATAAAATATTTAACAATAAGTGTAAAAAAAAGAATATTACTTTATATCTATGATATACATGCGAATATTATTCATTTAAATAATTAAAAGAAATATTAATTCAATAGTGGTTTGATTAATTGATAATTTGTAATTTTATTAAGCTTTTAATTTTGCAAAAAAAAATATTTGATTTTGTTTTGTTTTAAATAAAAATTACTTCGGATACCATAATTTTACCAGAACCGAATTTTTTTTAAGTAAAATGAGTTTGTATTTGATAAAATTTAGCATACAAAGAAATATTTGAAATGATATTTTTTTTGTATAATTACCGTTTTCCTACAAATGATAAAATGAAATATATTTCTCTTTATAGAGTGAAGATTTAGTCACAAAAAAAATGAAGATTTCTTGATGCCGTTGAATTCAGTAAGTAAAATAAAATATTAGCGCGAATTATTTATAAAATATTGTGTTTTAGAATGAATTAGTATATGAAGCTGAATTAATGAGCCTTATTCTAGTTGTCGAAGTAGAGCGACAATTGTCGTCACGACTTGAATTTGATATTCTAAATGGCGATTAAAGTGACACGTGTCGTGGAATAGCGGGAAAATGTGTTTCAGGTATATTCCAGTTGTCGTTGTAGAGCGACACATGTCGTAGTGAAACGACGTTTTTTGTCGAAAAGTATTTAACAAGTGACAAGCGAGATGGATACACCAAAAATGTAAGTTTAAACAATTTAATAAAAATATAAAAAATTATAAAATTTGTAATTTAATACATAAATTAAACCATATAATATATGGTTTGAAAGTCTGTAATAGCTTATAAATCTGTGAATAAAATAAAATGTTTGTAACTAATGTATTTGAAAAAATTATTATCTTACACTCCATTTAGCAAATCCAATGGATTAGAGCTGTCCCTAATCTTAAATCTTTTGATCCTTAATTGTTGCTTTTTTTTCAATTTCATCACTCTCGGAGTTTGATGAATCCATAAACCATAATGCAAATGACGACATTTTTTATTTCCGTATTTAAAAAAATAAATATATACACCGAATTTTTTTTTTTTAGTTTGAACTTTACTCGCTAAAATTTCTTTTTAAAATGTATCAATTTCACTTGAAACGTTTCATTTTCGTTTATTTCTCGCAGTCACGTCACTCGACAACTAGAATACCATATTTCAAATGATGTGACAACGACAACGACAAATGTCACGTAAGTGACGCGACAACTAGAATAAGGCTCAATGAATAAGGAAGAATACGACAACATACCATTTATTTTAGTGAGCAATAACTATCATATTTAAAATTTATTAAAAATTAAATTGTTGTAGAGTCATTAAAATTTATATCTAAAATGTAAGAAACTTTTTAACAAAATGCTATTTTTAATTTTCTTTTTCGGGGGTCATAAAATATTGTGATATTAAAATACTTATAGTTATTGTTATAAAATAAATTTATTAAAAGAGAACAAAAAAATAATGAGTTTTGTTTAAATTTGTTTTTTTTTACAGATATCTAAAATAAAAAAATATTTTTAAGTTTTTACTTAAAAAAAATTTAATTTGTCCTTACAAATTACTCATATTTTATGGTAAAGGCCAGACAAGAAAATAAAATAAATACGCTCCTGCTACGAATTTGAAAATGCTCGGAGCAAAGAAAGAGAAAGCTAGAAAAAATTTACCTTCATTGTTTTTTTAAGATGCACCTTCCTTTAGTATTTCTAATTCGTTGGGAATTTATATAATACATATTTTATATAAACATATATAATAAATTTTTATGTTTTCGTTTTTTGCATCATGGTGGCCCTCCATTATTCAACTTGATCCTTCAACATATATAGCCACTTACTTCAACATATAAAGTTAGGCCCACGAAAATTAAAACTTTTTCATATTTTCTTCAATCATGTTTCATCAAATGGTTGATCAACTAAGTCCACTAACAATTCAACGTTTTGAAAACTTAGATACTATTTTTTCAATGTGTTGAGGAACCAAGTTGAATAGTGGATGAGTAGAATCAGAACAGATTCAAGTCTGTTAAAAAATTGTCCATTTTGATTTTTTACCTTAAATTTGTGGGGGTTTATGTTCAATTAAATTATACACACTTTTTTCGTTAATGCTTCTTCTTGTTATTTTATTGTTAGCAACTCATAATATATTATTTTGACACCAAATAATGTTTGACAATTAATGATATAGAATATCATCATAGATATTTAACAATTAATGACATATAATATTTTGTATAGAATATTTTGATAAAACTAAGCTGTTTAACTAAACTTAAAATAATATTTCAAAAAAACTAAACATTAAGCTTTTGAAATCTTCTCAGATTAGGAAAATTTTTAACTGATTAGAGCATGCTCTGACTGATCTTGGATCTTGGATCTGGTTTTTACATCCAAGATTGAATATAAGTGGTAAAAGCGTGCTCTGAGAACTCTAATTATCTGGTCAGAATTCATATTAACTATTATACTGCGACATCTCTTGGAAAAAGAAGACAATAGTTTGGGAAAGAGGAATACCACTGTTGACGTTTCCAATTTTGAGGTGAATTTTTAATTTAAACAACGATGCATCAATTAACAATGTATATTTTCACTTCATAAATGACATTAGGTGAAGATTATTTTGTTTTTTTTTATTTGAAAATCTGACTTTTGAGTTTTCTTCGAAGTAGAGATACGGTGTGTTGATGTGGAATTTCGCTGTGTAAAAATAAAGAAAAAAATATGGGAATTAATTAGCTACTAAGAAAAATATATTTCGCGTTAATAAATATGTTGAAATATTTTTTAATTTTTTTTTTTATTTTTAAATAATTAGTTTTCGTGAAATTATAAAAAATTGAACCTCATAAATTTTATTTTCAACTGACATACATAAATATATATAATTTTGCAGCCTAATAAAAACATAAAAAGTGAAAATTTTATCTAAATGAGATATCGAATAACTGGAAAAAAAAGGAAAAAATATTCGTTTTATACCTACATAGGTCAAAAGGTACAAGTGTATATATAATTGGAAAAGTGTTAAAAGTATTTGAGAGACCTTTGAATTCCTAATTTTTTCGTTGGAAAAATCATTTGATTCATTGCGAGAAAATATGAAGGAATATTTAACTGTATAAATTGCATTCAATTTAAATTTTCTAGGGAGGTAGGTATACTTATTTGTTTTCGAGGCAGCTAGATGTAAATATTGCTTTTTTTTTAATCAAAAACTGGGTTTAACACTTATAACACATATAATTTTGTTTTTAATTAAACATAAAACCACTTTTACGCTAAATTAAAAAAAATACATACATATATGGTTTTGTTCATAAATTTCAATTGAAACACATACATACATAAGTAAGAACTGCAAATAGGTTGAAATTTTTTGAATTTAGAATATTGATTGCATTTGCTATAGTGTCAATAAAAAATTAGACATTCATGGTAAACAAACGTTGTACAAGGTTCGAAATTATATGCTAATTATTGATAACTTTGGAAGCTTATAGGATAATAATTACCTACGTAGGTGTCTACTGAATGATTATTAAAAAAATATGATTCCTTACGATAGAAGAGTAATAGAGCATTCAATTATACCTATTGCTTTCCTAAGCAGTGAATTTCTTTTTTTATGGTCGTGCCTATATAGGTAAGTTTATAAAACAGTTTAGCTTCTAAAAAATTTTAAATTTTTATTAAAAAGAAAAGTTTTTTAGTCTTTTTTGTCAAGAGAAACCCGTAAGTTATGCGAAAAAATTTGTTTGGGTCGACTTATGAGTTCTTAAGACTCTTAAAACTAATGACTATTTCTAAAGAATCTTCTGAATTTGCAATAAATAGTGTGGTTATAACTGCAAGTGTTTTATTTTTAATAAGGTATATAACCAGTGGCGGGGCCTGATGTTTTTGAGAAGGGAAGTATTAATATTTTTAATTATTTCTAATATTTTTTAGAAAAAGACAGTAAAGTGACTTGTTTTATGAAATTGGTAGATCCAATGAGTCCAGCCACTCCGACGGATTGCTTAACTGCACCCATGCTTTATCGGCTTAACGGCAGTTATGTTTTAAGCTGAGCAATAAAGATAAAAAATACCGATTAATTAAAAACAAATTTATTCTAGGTTTCTTAAGAAAATGTTTAAAGGAAAGCTTTTATACATGCTGAACTAAATTATTTATACGTTTTCCCTCATTTTGAAAAATTATTCACATCGTAATCTTATTCCAATCAGACTTTTCAAAACAATAAAATTTATTATTATTGGATAACCAACTAATAAAGTAAAAGTTTTGTAATAAAACATTCCCTACATCGTCCTGCAAATCTGTGGATTTAGAATGCTAAAGCAATATAATCAGATTTTATTCTAACTTTTTATTTATTTATGTATTTATTTTTAAAATCCGTTTACAAACTTATAAACAAAATATATCTACCCAAGAACTAGTTCGACTCTTCGTTTACATCATACTAATGCAATCCCTCACCAATATTTGTATACAAAAAATTTTCCTAGCTAAAGGAGTTAAGCAGTATACCTTCTTATTTTCATTTTTATGCACATAGAAAATTTTGGGAGAGCAATTTGCGATACAACTTCAACATTTATTTGATTATATCTTAGAAACTATAAAAACTATGGTGTTGAAACTTGGCACAAGTAAGTATATTAGCAGGGCCAATGTGTATGATAAAGGTCGTTGAAATTGGTTGGCTCCTTCTGGTAGCTGCCATACAGCTTCAAAATATACTTGGCTATATCTCAGAAACTATAAAAGTTGTGATATTGAAATTTTACACGAGTAAATATATAAGTAGGGCCAATGTGTTTGATAAAAGTCGGCGAAATGGCTTGGCTCCTTCTGGTAACTTCCAAAGTTACTTCGCTATATCTCAGAAATTACAAAAGCTGTGATATTGAAATATCAGACAAACGAATACATTAGTACAGTTGTCATTAATAATATTATATTTTTGTATTTAATAAATTGCCATTTCATATACCCGTTTTTGGGGTTTCGTTTTCAATTTTTATACCACGAATCTGTTATCTTCATAGTTTTAATAATATCTTCATTTATCCAGGTGTGGACCTTAATTTTAAATGTTTCATATGTTGTGCATTTGTTTTTCACTTTTATTATTAGCTTGATAATTTCTTCTATGTCACTTCCTTCATACATATTAATATTTTCCTCAACATGGTTATTAAATCTTTCGAAATCAATAATTTTTATTTGGGTATTGACCATTGGTTTCAAGACAGCAATTAATTTTGACACATCGACTTGAATAAATTTATGGTCGAAAATAGCAACATTCGTAAGAGTTAATCAATTATTGTTGCTGAAGATTCTGTGATTCGTGTAGCGTGACCCGTGCCAGTCTTGTTTGGGATACATTCATGCACAACAGCTGTAGATGCGTCAATTATCTCCCTGTATTATGCTGTGTCAGGATTTCAGGAACCTTTTTCAAGAGGTCAACATTGGTGCCAGCAATGAAAATCACATTTTTATATTCCTCCAATTTTTGGTACAGTATTGGGTATTTCAATTAGCAGTTTTTTGATGAAGATAGCAGTTCCATCACCAGTATTAAAGCTCCTATAGTTAAAAACCGGTTTATGCCAGTCTTCCAGCGAATAGTATTTAGTTTCATTATCCTATAATCAAAATTCATTACAAACAAAAACAGATACCCCCGGATTATTGGCTAGCTGGACACGTATTTCGTTCATTTAATTCCTGATGCTACGCTGGTTGAAGTAAGCTATGCTAATTTTATTTATGTGTATTCTCATTATTGCTTTATTTAACAGTAAGACAAAATATACCTCCTCATAACATATTTTAGCATTCTTATATATTAATTATCTTTGAAAAACAAGGCTACACTATTTATCATTGAAAAACAATCTACACTAGTTGTGTTATGATTCTGGAATTCCAAACTCTTCTCCTTACAATTACGGCATGTTTGTGCTAATCTGGTGGAAGGCCACGTGTTGTGAGCTTCATTACATTTACCACAAACAATAGCAATTTGACTAAAAGTGTTCAAAGCCGTTGCAATCTGTCTTGTAAAGCGTGTCTACCCCATGAATTCTAATGTGTGGCTTTTTCATTTTGGTGAGTGTAGTCACGTCTCAATTTCTTGATGCACTCTTTGCTTAAGTATTCTTTACTGTCCAGGTTCTCTGGCTTGGTGAATATTCCACCATATTTAATTTTTAATTGCCCAAGTGGTGTTTTGAACTTTTTCGGATCAAAATTTTTTTTATAGCCTTGATTATTGCTTCTAATGACACGTTGTTTGGTTTCGGTCTCTGATAATCAGGCATTGTTTGTGGTTTCTTTTCAGTTCTGTGAGTGAATCTTTGACTATTTAAAAGTAGAGGTTTTTGCTAACCAAGCTGATATCTTCCAAATTTTTGTCCATATCCACAGGACATGCTCTGCAATTTGTTGCATCTTGTTAAAAACTCCTTACTCATGCCAGCACATGTTTCATGAAACAATGCTACATAATAACCATCGCGAAATAAGGCATCATCGTTATCCCACACTACTTTACTACATTCTGGACAAGTTTCTTTTGACATGTTGCACTGTATTTTCTTTACCTTGCAAACAATGCTAGGGTATAAAGTCAGTGAAAACGACGATAATACTTTATCAATTAAAAAATAGCAGTTCGTCAGTTTTCAACTTCTGTAAGACTTGTATGGACTTTACAAGTTTTAATTTAAAAATCAAGAAAAAATTAGCGAATTCCTTAGATGTACCACTTCAATTTCAATCCCCCTAAAAGCTAAGACAACTATGTTGCCTGTTGGAAATATTCAAGAAGCCGAACAAAAGTAGTAAATTCGAATACATATATATTTTCAACACATTTACCATCAATCGAATTTTTATTCTACTTCGCCCCTAGGAGCATCATAGGACTAGTGCATAATTACTGTAAATAACCATGAACCAACCTATCGTAGTTTTTTACCGACCGTATTGTGTGTACAATACAATCGGCTGAACCGATTTTGACGAAATTTTATATGTAAGTTTATTTCGACTATGGAACGAATTGATCGAGATATATCAGATATATATCTTGGAGATATATCAGGCCTCCGGGACTGCACTTTTTAACGGGTCTGTTTTACATTTTTGACCATTTTGAAGAAAATATTCAAGCGATTTACTTGAAATTTCATATATGCGAAATCTCCTAACTTTTTTAAGAAATCAGGCATCAGCGTTAATACGGGCCAAATATACTTTTTTGCGTATATAAAGCGAAATAATCAACCGATTTCATTGGAATTTAATATTTAAATTTTTCGTACTAAAACAATGAACATATAAATTTTTTTGAAAGATCATTGCTCGAAAATTGATCTGCGGGCCGATTTTACATTTTTCACCATATCTACGGAACGAATTGATGGAGTTTCTTGAAATTTAATATTTGAGTTCTGGTTGTTACCAGAACTAACTAACTGACAAGTATTTCAGGGAATTCGGGTAGCACAAAGCGAAACTCTACTAAGAGCCACATAAACATTTTTCTAGGTGTGTTAACTATAAGCTTACTAATGTCCTAAAAATTGGAAAGAAGTATTTAACAGACATTTATAATATTCTGTAACACTTTCACTTAATTAGACAATACACATTGCGGTCAGTTATATGCTTGCTGATCATATCAAATTTTTTTTCTTTATATTAGATATTTAAGCCTATTGTAATTTATTGTTTAATTTTGCTGGTATTTATATTTTTGAATATTGGATATTATTGAAATATTGTAATTAGTTAATATAATTTTTTTATTTTTATATGTAATATGTATAAAGCTATATAATATTAAATATAATTTTTATAGTGAGGTCACTGGGCTTTGAACCCGAGACCCTTCAGTTAAAGGACCAGGCAATAACCACTGCACAATTGCACTGCACCGTTGGTCAGCTTAGCCAGTGAAGTTAAATCCAATAGGGTATTTTACAAATATTCTCGACGATAGTGTTGTTTATGATTCCATACGTCAAAGGAATATGAAATTAAACAGACATACCTATATTTAAATCTGTTGCAAAATATAAAAACTAATTCAAATTGTGTCGCTTTGAACTGAATTTATGTTTTATG